GAAGCTTGCGGCGTTGCTGTTTCTCTAAAGCCGACGCTAAGGTGGAAGGCATCGCCCCGCCCCCAGAACACATCGATGAGCGCCGCGAAGTGCTGCGATAACTCGGCGGCGAAGATTCATCACTCATCTCATCGTCAGAACCGAAGATTTCCGCATGAAGGCTTCTCGTCTTGGTAGAAAGACGAGCATCTTCGTCCGCCAAGTCAGAATCTGAAGGACTACCCGCTGAGCTCTCCGACAAAGAAATGGTATCCGAGAGCGACCCAGCCGCAAGGCTCGTCGAGCTGGTGGACGGTGCAGAACCATCAACAGGCCCTAAGACCTCGTCGTCAATAGCGTCAAGGTCCTCGGGCAGCTGAGGAGTCACAGTGTGGGCAGTCGCAGTAGATCTCCGGATGAGACGCCCAGAAGGAGACGTCAGTACAGCCGAGCTCGCAGGGAGAGACGGTCTGAGAACACTCACAGCCGGTGCCACAAGGTCGGTCGGTGTAGTAGATACACTAATACCTCGAGACGTAGAGACGTCGGCTGAGAAGTGAGATGATCAAGGACCAGATGACAGCCGGGATTGCACAGTTCCCGTCGACACGACGTTGGAAGGTACGCTCAACTGGGGCAACTCAGCTGAGCTAGGCGACCCCAAGACTGGTGCACAAATACTCGTAGCCGTGACAGGCAGTGAGGCCATGACATCAGAAGAGGACACCGACGATGGTTGGGTAGTCATGACCGACGACGTTAACAGATGACCAGAGAACGGAGGCTCCACCAGACTCGCTGAATCAGACGCAGAAACTGTGTCGTCGGCAGAAACAGACATGTCAAACGCGTACTCGGCTTCGCTCGAAGCTTCATCTTCGTCTTCCGAGCGGAGACGGCTGGCTGTGTAGCGGAACTCAACTGAAGGTGACGAGCCTTCTTCCGCGGAGTCCGGCGTCGAGATTTACCGGAGCAGGGCTTCACTCTATCGGACACGGCCACCTGAGGAGAACTCGTGCGTAAACGCGCACTGACAGCATCGTGTCCCTCTTCACCTGGAAGCCGACAAGCGTACGGCGGAGGCGGAGGCGGCGTCAGCGGACGGTGACGAGGACCAGCAGCAAAGGGAGACTTCGGATTCGCATAACGCTGAAGCCGTTGCGTAGATGTCAATTCAGCCAATGGAGCACGACGAAGCTGAGCGAGGGTCGGCACGGGTTGATTCGCAGCCGTCGCTGAGCTCACATGAGCCGTAGCCGAGTCCACCGAAGAACCCATAGAAGAAGTCGGAACCACTGGATATACGGAATTCTGTGGTTGAATACTACGATCAGCAGTTGGATTAGCAGTAGAGCCCACCGCTGAGGCGTCCTGACGAGAATGGATGATCAACTCCAGTCGTCGGGACTCGCCAGAAGGGACACGCTGAGAGCTTCGGAGAAGCGAGACTCCAAGATGCGACACAGCAGGGCGTTCAAACGAAGGTCGGACGGATCGAGTCCTGGAACCTCCAATCCGGCGCCAGCATTAGCAGCCGTGTGAGGATCGTGCATCGGAAGAGTACCGTTCTGGCGGATAATCCGCTTCTGCCGCAAGATCACTGACCGCTGACCAGCGATCACCAACTGAGCGTGCCACAAGGGTTGATTACCGGTCGATCTGTACAGCTGCACTGACTCCGAAATATTTGGAAGCCATGCTCTGAAGCGTGGCATACGCTGCATCCTTCTCGGTGATTGATTGGAGGAGAGTCGCGATCTCATCGTCTCGATCCGTGACTTGCTGGTGGTGGAGCCGAGCCTGACTCAACGCGCCCCCAAACTTGCCTTGCTTAGCTTCGACAGCCCGAGCGAGTTTTGCTTCACTCAGAGCTACAGCTTTTCGCCGTGAAGCGAGGAGGTTCATAGACTGCGTGGCAGCAGCCTCCAGCCGAGACACCTGGTGTTGTGTCGATGATAGTTGAGTTGACAAGTCAACGTTGTTGAGTGCGAGGGTGTCTAATCGCCGAGTTAACGCGCGATCGCTTCTAGGGCAGCCTGATTGTCGGTCCTGAGTCCCCGATGACCTGGGAATAATCAAGAGCAGCGTAGTGGCCGCTCAAGATTTCCAACAGCTCCTCAGCGGTGGAAGCATGCAGGACCGCTCGCTGTTGTGCGGGATCAGATGGCTCCACGGGGCGAGTGATCTCGTAGGCCATGAGCTCACACAAGAAGATCAATTCCTCCAGCATTCGAATTCTGGCTTAGTGACCATTGTTATGAGGGGTCAAGACTCACTGGGGCAGCCGATCTCGACCAATTGTTGGCGCCCGAAGTGGTGTCGCCCGGCAAGCTCGGTGGACCAGAAGAGCACGTGCGAGAAGACTCCGCCGACTCCGCGTCAAACCCATGGGAAGCTGTCAGGTCTATCAACCCAGCTTCATGCGGGTCGCTGACCCCACGAGCACTAACGGGTCGAGGAATCGACTCAGCGGACGCGCCTTCACCTCGACGAGGAGTCGGTGGAGTAGCATGGCGCCGTGAGTTGTTCTGGAGAAACAGACGAAGAGCGTGAGGAGAGGCCAGGTGAGCAACAGCAGAACCAGCGAACGTACGGAAGAAGTTGGTGGAGAGTCGCGAGACGCCATCAGCCGAGTATGAACCAACGGTGGCAGAACCAAATGAAGGATTAAGACACTCACTAGCTCCGCTCGTATCATAACCGGGGCAGTTGTGGTGTAGGGATTTCCAGATTTGGCCTTACGTCAACCTACTTTAGACCAAGAACCAGCTCGGTCTGATAACCCAGAGCTTAGGAACAGATGATCACGGTAAGTACTCAGCGATCTGTCCGAATGATGCTATCCGGATGGCCGCTGAACTCAACGGTCGCCTGATCCCAGCAGAAGGGTCGGTAGCGATCCGAAACAACTACATTTCGCTAGATATTTGTATGAGAAGCATAGGATTAAGTAGGGGGGCAAAAAGGCCCCCAGAAGATGACAGAGCAGATTTTTCCTAGTCCAAGACACGTGTGCACTCTTCCGGTAAGTCCCTGTATAGGGCTGGATTATGCCTGCTGTTGATACTCGAGAGGCATAGCCTTTAGGGTATTGACTGGTAGCGCCAAGAGATTAGATCGGTCCGGGTAGGACAAAAGTCTCGCTACGCGCGAAAGAAAAGCCCCGCGAACTTAGCGGACCGGTACGTCGGATAGCCCGGGTGCCGTGACACTTCTAGCTGAGCTGCCTCTGCGCTCGGTGACCTGTAAAAGCGCTCGCGCGCCGTCGTCCATCCTTTGGTGGAGGGCACAGGGTTTGTGAACGAGCTCGGCCGAGCCAAACTCGGCGGAACCTTGGAAGTGCTCTGACTTGGTTAGTCGGAACTCAGTGGAAGCGAGCCACTCGTCTGTCCCAGTTGGGCCGAACCGCGAGGGACCACCCTCTGCGCAGGCCATACAAGCGCCGACCTAACTCGGCGATTTGTTGTGGTTTGTGTAAGGAATCCACATCTGACGGTATTTGTGTGTTCTACTACACCTGTTTGGTGCCTTTATCCAGTTCCAAAAACTAAAGTGCGGACGACGGATCCCCTCAACCGCACATCCTTGCCGCAGCTATAGGATGAGGAGCTGAGTATTACTAGCGTAATAGATAGCTTAGTGTGCCTACTTCACCGCGCTACTAATTCGAGGGGCTCTGTTATCCTGTACACGTGCTCGAATCAACGCACACAGGGCGCGTCCGCGGTGCTGCAGGGTTCCAGTATGAGGATCATTTAAATAGGGTAGAATGTCACTAAAGCAGAATTTGACTTTTGAAAAGCGCGTAGCAAAAGCACGTGACGACTGCTTCATCTACCGCTTTTCCATACCATAAAATTTCCGACCGGTACATTAATTGTCAGTCGTCGGTATCTCTATAAACAAAAACTTAATGTATTCATTTGATGTTTTTGGTTAAATAAAAAATACTAGACTTAGCGTGCTGAAGGTGTGGAGCGCCCGCGACAACGGTGATCGAGCGAATACGGAGATGTGGCATGAGGGTGGCGAGCGCGAATGGTGAGCGCCTGTGGAGAGCGGCAGGAGGCCGTGCTGGTGACGAATGCGCTGAAGGTGGAACAGCGGCGGGGACAGCGTCGGGGACAGCAGCACCGGCGAGAGCGGGTTAGCGGATGAGGATGAGAGCAACGCAGTCAAGTTCGGCGACAAGGACGACATGCGTGCGATGGCAGAAGCTAGCTGTGGATGGGGGCGGAGGGAGGCGTCAGAGCTAGGGGCGGTGGACGAGTCGTGGCGGTGCGTGCTGGTGCAGAATAGCTGGAGACTGCATAAGGAGGAAGGAATGGCTGAAGGAAGGCTGCTGAAAGGGCGGTAGCTAGTGGTGGTGGGCGGGCTGGTACGAGTGCGGTGAATGCGGTTTGTGCGGAGGTGGAGACCAAGCAACGGTCCAACATGTGTGCAGCTTGTGAGCTGTTACTGTATTTTTATTTAAACAATGCAGAATATCTGTATATCTGTCTACTATATAAAATCTGCCACAACAATAATGTATCTTGATGCATCTCCTCGCTGAGACTGTTGCATGAGCTGCACTGATGAGTCGTCTAAGGCGAGCTTCCTGAGCTGTCGAGACAATTTTAACGCTTTCTAAATTTTGTAGAAGCACATTTTAGAAAGCCCCCATCGAGTCCATTGTCCTTGTAATGATTGACTTTATGCATGTGAAATATGCCAACATCTTAAGTTTGTAAGAGCATATGAATATTTCCCGAGTCCCATATGTCGGAGCCAGCTCCGACGAGGCCCAACCCAACCCTTACCATTTAGATTGGCCAATTCATTTTGTCAAGTCAGTATGATTGGTTGTTCAAAAAATAAAAATGGAGATTGTTGATTAATACCAATACTAAAATACAGTAGGGTCGGGAAAAATAACTTTTTTTGCTACGCACTTTTGATGCCGCTTTTTGGCAAATCGCGGTACTTTTAAAAGTTAGATCTCGACCCTTCAAGATCGCCATCAGTGGACGATTGGCTCAATGGGGCAGCTCCAGGGTAAGGCGGCGTACCTGAAATCGACGACGTCCTTCCTCAATGGTACACAGCCTGCTCTTGTCTCTCTTTACCAGCTTATTCGACCTCAACGAAGTTGCTGTGCACAGCCTCCGAACGAGACGTGAATAAACTCTGGGAGAGCTTCAGTGACGTGGCCGAGGGGTTCGGTCTGAGTCAGGACGAGTTGGTGGAAATCTGTCGTTCCATGCAGCAGTCGCTCGAGATCCACGCACGTAACGAGATGGATCAGCTCAGTGGCGCGCTCTTCACGGCGCTGGACACTGACGAGGTGACCGATGTTTCTACGACGATACTTTGGACTGTCTACTGACCGTAGTCAACTGTTCCCTCTTCGTAGAATGGCCTGGTTGACGCTCTCGAGTTTCTCGGAACAATGGCCATGACGTCCGCCATGCCCATCCCACAGAAACTCACGTGTACGTCGACGCTACGTAAATAATTGTTTTTTTTTACAGAGAAATAGTGACAGTGCCCGTAGTTGTGTACAATTGCTACGACTTCAACGAGACCGGGCAGTTGTCGCTAGATGAGCTCACACTGGCGTTCAAGTCGACGCTCACGGGGCTATGTAAACTCTGCGGGGGTCTGTCGTGTCCGACAGAACTCGTGCTTGAAGATCTAGCCCAGCACGCCTTCCAGAAGGCCCAAAAACCCGGCGTGGACGCCTTCCTGTCGCTGTCAGAGTTCTTACGCTTCGCAGACACGACCCCCGAGGTGAACTCGTGGGTAGATTACTTCGATTGTCCAGCAGAGACTGTGGACGAGCAGGACGGAGACGACAGCGATGCCGAACGGGAGGCTGCTGCGGGGATGCTGGCACCTTCAGCACTGGATGATGAAGACACAGCGAGGAAGAGAAACGCAAGTCTACCACATGATGCAACAGCACCAGACCTATCCGTAGACAAGATGATACCTCGACGTGCTTGGCAATTGGCAGTGACGAACGCGACACCCAGCGCTCCACCCACAATCGATCCACGGATGCCAGCAGCCAGTCTGGAGCTCGAGTGGATCTACGGCTTCAACAGTGATCTACGCAACATCGTCCACTATGTGTCTCCAGCTGAAGCGGTGTACCCTGCAGGAAGTGTGGTGGTCGTGTACGACACGGTCGCTCATCGACAGCGCTTTGCGTGTCACCACTCTGGACTGGTACAGACATTGGCGGTGCATCCAGCGGATCGTCGCGTCATTGCTTCGGGTGAAGCTGCGTTGGTACCGAAGATCGTGATTTGGTCTACACAGACGCTGAGCGAGAGTGGAGCAGGAGGCGGAGGTGGAGTGCTCAGTGTCCTGCGTGGATTCCATCGTCGAGGCGTGTCACATTTGGCTTGGATGTGCAGCGGACGGACTCTCAAGGCGGTCGGTCAAGATGATTCTCCATTGTGTTGCAAGTTTATCAAGTGGGGAAAAGCGGGGCCCAGCTGAAAGGAATTGCTGACGTTGCAGACCTGGAGTAAACCCGGCCGAGCTCATTCTTTGCAGGACGTGGAGGTCGGGAGCCTGTTCACGCGTTGACAGTCTTGAACGGGCCCTCTGGCCCAGTCCCCAATTTGTGACGGGAGGGCGACGACATTTTGTACTTCTGGACACGTGAGCGAGATGCACGATACTCGAGTCCCCCACGCACTCTTCGCGCGACTTCCTGGTGTTCTAGGACGCAAGGCAAAAGTGCAGACAATCCTGAGTTTGGTGGCTTTACCGGGGGATTCTGGTGCTGTCGCTGGCACAGCACGTGGACAGTTATTGCTATTCGAAGGGCGGAACTGTGTGCGTGTGTTGTATGCGCACGCAGCAGCAGTGTCGGCGCTGTTTGCGTTCAGTGGCGGCGTTTTCAGTGGTGGTAAAGACGGTAAAGTGCGAATCTGGAGTCGACGCTTGGAACCTGGAGCACAATTTGATCTGGTGGCGTTAGGAAGCTCCTCTCCTCGTGTACGCAGTCTCGTGGCTTCTCCAGAGGGAGGAGTTAAGTTGCTGATTGCCACTGCCGGAGCTGAGATCTTCGAGATCGCGTCGAGTGATGGCTCCAACTTGCACTTTGGCCCGGTAGTCTGCGGCCACTCGTCCTTCCAGCTCCATGGACTCGCTGTGCACCCTTTGCGACGAGAGTGCTGCTCGGTGGGGGACGACCGCACTGTGCGTGTCTGGGACTTGTCAGCCCATCGTCAGCTTCGCATTTCCGCTCTGGACGCTCCTGCTCGAGCCTGTGCGTACTCACCCGACGGCTCCACTATTGCTGTGGGTCAAGGTGCTGACGAAGACGATGACGAAGTGAACCCAGCGACTACCAGCCCCGAGTTGCTGGCATGGCGTCGACGACAACAACCTAAGCTGGTGAATCCGAACAAACAAGGCGCCTTTGCAGTGCTGAACGAGTCGTCGCTGGCAGTAAAATTCGAGGCCAAAGACTCCAAGAGAGCGATTAAAACGCTGCGATTTTCCGGCGACGGCCTTACGTTGGCTGTGGGGTCCAGCGACAACTGCATCTACTCGTATCATACTGAAGACTGGGCGTCTAAGGGCAAATGTCGCGCTCGAGATGCTGGCGTCGTCATCAGCTCGTTTGACTTCTCAACTACTGGCGAACACATCATGGCGAACGCTCGAAACCGAGGCGAAATGGTGTTTTTCGAGAGCTCTTCAGGCGTGGAAGTCACGCGTATAGCGACGTTAAAGGACGTCGAGTGGCTGTCGTGTTCGTGTCCGTACGGATGGGGGGTCCAGGGGGCGTGGCCTACACGGAAGCTGGAAGCTTACGAGATATCGGCGGTGGATCGCTCCTCTGGTGTCGAGACGCCAATGCTCATTGCAGGAGACACACTTGGCTCACTGCGTTTGTTTCGGTATCCGTGTGTGAATCCAGAGTCGCTGGGCCAAGTAGCGCGAGGAGCAGCTAGTGCCATCTCAGCTGTACGCTACACTGCAGACGGGAACTTTGTCGTAGCGAGTGCACGAGATGAACGCTGTATCTTCCAGTGGCGTGTCGAGCGCGAAGAGATCGATGGAGATGGAGGCAGTGGAGATGCAGAGGACGTCCCAGGCTTTTCAGACGACGAGCGAGAAGAAAGTCACGGGGCCGAACGATCCGCTTTCGACGAGGCGGCTGCTGTGGGGGATTTTGCACTTGAATTGCTGGCGGAAAGACTGCAAGATCCAACGTACAATCAGGACGACGAACAAGAAGAGAGTGGAGAAGAACCACCGAAGTCTACGCCATCAACGGCAGTAGCTCCGTCCAAGCCGTGGGTTAGTAGCAGTGTGCCGCCTTCAGACGCCCCGAGTGAAGCAGACTTGGAGCTTTCTACTGTGCCTAGCGACAGCTTGGAGCTCGAGTGGGTCTATGGCTATCGCTGTCATGACGCTCGCAACAATCTCTTCCTTACACGCGCCAAGGGCTTACTGGTCTACCCCGCTGCGAATATTGTCGTAGTATTGGACACCAAGCTCTGGCTGCAGCGTCATTTCAAGCAACACACGGACGAAGTCTCGAGTCTTGCTACATATTTCGGCCCAAGCAGTAAGCCCAGCAATGCGTCTCAAGAGATCGGGGCCTCGGGCCAAATGGGACGTCTCCCAGTCATTCACGTGTGGCGACTCGACTCACTACAAGTGCTGGTCTCTCTGCGAGGATTTCATCGCCACGGAATCGCCGAGTTGCGCTTCAATTCGGCTGGAAATCTACTGGCGAGTGTGGGGCTGGACGATCGCAACTCGCTCGCAGTGTACGACTGGCGCAGTGGAGAGCTACTAGCTCATGCAAGTACGTCGTCGGTGGGTCGAATTCTGGGCGTGAGTTTCCAGCAGGAAGCTGTAATTAAAGGCGCCGTTGTTGCGCCACCGGACGACCCAGTGAACCCCTCAGAGGCTCCCGCAACTCCCGTTGTGATCGCGACTGTGGGCGTGAAGACTGCAGCTTTTTGGCGACTTGCAGCAGGTCGGACTCTCGTCAAGAAGGACGCTTTGTTGGGGCGTAAAGCTCGCCAGGGAGGTGCTCCACCGTCCTTTTTGAGTGTTGTGTTCTGCGGTAAGGATGCAATTGCAGGTACAGTCAGCGGCGATTTGTTCCGCTTCAAGGGTACCGAGCTCTCCAGTATCGTCCCGGCGCATACACGAGCTGTGGCAGCGCTTTGCAGTTCGACTGGAGCGACAGGAGGGATCGCAAGTGGGGGACAAGATGGCCTCGTCAAGCTTTGGAGTGCGGATCTCGAGTGTCTGGCCGAGTTCGGGGAGTTCAATGCAGCTCATCATGCGATTCGCAGCGTCTTCTGGGACACAGCGAAGGAAATGCTACTGGTAGGCACTCGAGGCAGCAGTATCCACCTTCTTTCCTCTCTGGATGGCTCGGCAGTTAACTTCAAAACACCTGACGGGACCCCAGTGACGTCGCTGGAGAGCCATGCACGCGGTGATCTCCATGGGCTTAGTGTCTGCTATGCTAAAGCTCGAGGATGCACGGCAGGAGACGACGGAGTTCTCCGCATCTGGGACTTGCATCGTCACCTCTTGATTCTGTCAAACAAACTGGAGACAAGCAGTCGAGCGTGCGCGTTTTCTCCTGATGGAGACTTCATTGCTGTTGGCTTGGGCAGCGGAGGAACTGGACGACGTCACAAGAAAGACGGCAGTATGCTGGTGTTTGAAGACCGAGGACAAAGTGTGGAGCTCGTGTACGAGACTCGAGACACAAAACAGTCAGTGACGGTCTTACGCTTCTCTCCTGATGGTCAGTCACTGGTGTGTGGAGCGCTGGATGGCTCCGTCTACATCTACGACGTCCCCAGTAACTACACGAAGCGAGCTGTTTTCTCCAAACACAAGGCGCCGATCACTCACATTGATCTGGCTAGCGACTCGCAGTATTTACGCAGCAACTGTAAAGGGTTTGAGCTGTTTTTCGCCGACGTTACCACTGGTTCTCACGTGGCCAGCGCCACAGCTCTTCGCAACCACATCTGGGATACTTGCAGTACCATTTACAACTGGTCCAACCAGGGAGTGTGGCCTGTGGCTCCCACAGGACTTGATGCAATGAGAGAGATCACGTGTTGCGCATGCTCGCTACCCGGTGCCCCATACAAAGGCAGCAGTGCCATTCTCGCTGCTGGGAACTCTCATGGAGCCATCAGTCTTCTCAAGTATCCGAGCTTTGTACAAGGAGCGGGAGCCAAGACGTACCGTGGACACAGTGGTGCTGTGGCTCAATTAGGCTTCTCAGGAGCTGGCGGATCGCTCTGCGTTAGTATCGGTCGCTCTGACCGGTGCTTGCTTCAATGGAGACGGCTGTATGGCGCCGGTAGTGGCTCTGATACAGCAGTAAATGGTAACGTGGGCATAGCGAAAGATCCTGAAGAGGACCCTGATCTGGAAGCTGAAGGACGGTTCCTGCCTGAAGCGTTCGTCAACGTTGGTGGAGGCGCTCCGAGCGAGGTGACGCCGTTCGTGAGCGCAATATTACCACCGTCAGGTGTCGTGCAGGAGCCGAGCGAGGCCGACGGAGTGGTTAAACATCGAGTGTTCGACTTGGAGCATGTTTTTGGCTTGCGTACACATGACGCCCGACAAAACGTCGTGTACGCTCGACCGAAGCGGATCGTGTACCCGACTGGGTGCGTCGGCGTGAGTTATGATCGACGTGAACACCGACAGCAGTTCTACACGGATCATACGCGTCCTATCTTGTGCATGGCAGTGTCGCCTTGTGGAGGCTTCGTAGCTTCGGGAGAGATCTGCGCTCAGAACTTTGCACATGAGAGACCACGTATCCACGTGTGGGAACCTGCTACCTGCACTCGCGTAGTAGAGCTCAGTGCCTTTCACAGTAAAGCTGTGACTGCTGTCTCCTTCAGCTCACCCGATGGAAAGCTACTGGCTGCAGTGGGTCAGGATGAATTTCATTCACTAGCTGTGTATCGCTCAGCGTCCGGCCAGTGGTTCGACGGTGCATTGCTTGCAAGCTCTCGCTCTACTCGCCACGCAGTGTTCTTTGTCTGTTTCATCGAAGATCCGCAGAGTGCAGGAGGCTGTAACTTGGTCTCCGGAGGAGAAGACCATGTTCTGTTCTGGAAGATCACACCACCAGCACTTACAGCACGGGACGGCATTTTTGGTGCTCGAGCACAGCGACAGCCAGTGCTGTGCGGTACTTCGATGGGCGGACTTGTAGTCACAGGCTGCGCTTCTGGTCATCTGTACATTTGGGAGGCCTGTGCTGTCGCGCGAGTAGTTTCAGCTCATACCGGCAGCGTCTACGCCATTCATGCGACGTCGCTAGGCTGCGCCACTGGAGGTCGTGACGGACACGTGAAGCTGTGGGCACGCACGACTCTGGCGCCTCTAGCTGACTTCGATGTTGCAGGTTTCCACCCAGCGCCACATAACGCCGTTGTGCGCTCGCTTTGTTGGGACGTAGCAGAAGATCGCTTACTTATCGGTACGAAAGGTGCCGAGTTGTTCGAGCTATCTCGACTCACGGGAGACGCCATCCTCGTGTCGGAGAGCCACTTCGACCGCTCTGTTCAGCTTCAGGGACTCGCAGTGCATCCGCTTCGACCAGAACTGGTAGTCACAGCTGGAGGTGACCACACGGTGCGTCTGTGGCATTTAGAAAAGCGCTGCGTGGTAGCAAAGACTGCGCTGGATGGGGCTCTACAGAGTGTGGCTTTCTCTCCGGATGGCAAGTGGCTCGCTGTGGGTTTTGGCGGGTCAGAGAGCAGCAAGAGTCACAAAGATGGAGCCTTTGCCGTGCTCGATGGTCAGACTCTTGAGCTGCAGCACGAAGGACGAGATAGCAAGCTCAGTGCGCTGGACGTGACGTTCTCTCCGGACTTGACCCTGCTGGCGTTGGCTTCAGCCGATCACTGCGTGTACTTCTACTCCGCGCTGGACAATTTCTCGCTGCGCTTCAAGTTCTCCAAGCCCAGTGGACGTGCGACTCGCTTGGACTTTGCAGCTGATAGCAGCATGGCACGAGTGTCGAGCGATGCGTTCGAGCTTCAGTTCGTGAGCACCATGGACGGCAGTCAGATCACGTCGGCTGCTAGTGCAGCAAACGTCGCATGGGCGTCACACAAATGTTTGTTTGCGTGGGCGGCGCAGGGCGTCTGGGATGTCGCTGGCAAGCCAGACGACCACGTTCACGCTCTGGCAAAGGCGAACACGCAGGAGATGCTGGTGGCTGCTACCAATCAGGGCGAGATCCGTGTGTACAACACGCCGTGTCTGTCGAGACACACGGAGCAGCACAAACTGCTTGGACACAGTCTGAACGTGGCCAACGTAGCCTTCACATGCGACGACTCAAGGTTGGTCTCTATTGGAGCCAACGACAAGAGTCTGTTCGTATGGAAAGTAAAGAAGACAAAACTTTGACGATCTAAAAGAGAGATCACTTCAATATGCTCAGCCAATCAAAACAGAGATCTAAATTTTTTTAAGTATTTTAACGAATCAACATGCATAAACCCAGGGCAGTTCCGGTTACGACTGGGGGACGTTCGAGGTCCCGACCACAGCAGGGCCACTCACTGCCTATTCATTATGGCGACCCCCATTAGCAACACCTCCGTTAGCGGTTATTGTCGACGCTGTACGCACGTTCTTGGCCAGGGTCATGTCCACGCCGACCGAGATCCATGCGAGCACGCCATCCCCTACTGAGTCGCCTAGCAGTGTGTATTCCATGATAGGGTCACTACCGGTGCGTGTCGACGCGCTGTAGATGCTGTCATCAGCATTGAGTGTAAGCCTCTGCTTGTTGGTAGCATACACGTCCGTGGCTTCCACCTTCGAAATGAGGTCTTGATCGAAGTATATTTGACCCACATGAGCTCCTACTCCACCCGAGTACGTGTTGTTCTGGAGCACAGTACCGTTGTATGAGCCCAAGATGTGGATGTGAGTGGCGCGTCCTGTGTAATGGCCTGGAAATACGGACGTGAACGACACGATACCGTCTTCATCCGTTGGTGCAAGGCCACGGAACGCCGTGTTATTGATGTTGGAGGCGTCAGATATGTCGCCGTTGCCGTTCGCCACCACCCCAGAGTACACGCCGGTGGCGTTGCAGTGCCAAAAATCGACGTAGAGATTGTGCACGGGCTCGCACGTGTTCACGTCTACGAATTGTAGCTCTGCGTAGAGCTTCACACCTTCTTGGTCCTCAGTCACGTCTTGGCGAATTAGCTCCCCGTTGACGTAGTAGGGACCCTCTGTTACCTCGGGCTCTAGGACGCATTTGACGTCACTACCGAACAAATCGCTCGCATTCACGTCATGCACGTTGTCGATCACCAAGCTGGATTGATGCTCGGTTGGAGTGTCGAGCTGGACGCCATCTCCGCCACCGAGTCGGCGACGGGCTTGCAAGTTCTCGAGTGTGAAGGCACGTCGGGCGACACTACGTTCCTGGAGTCTGCGAGCTTGAGCAGAGTCCTTGCAAGCTTGCAGTAAACGGTGGCTGTCAGCTTGGAAGAGCCGACGTTGCTCGAAGTGCATAACTGACTGCGTGTGTGGCTGCTGAACGGAGTGCGCGGATATCGTCATCACGAGGACTGCCAGACTGACCAGCGTGAAGAGCATCGAGAGTTGAAGCATTGGAAGTAGCTTGGTTTAAGCTGGAGATGGCGAATTGCGAAGTGAACGACGAGGATATTTCCCATGAGAATCGTCGAAAAGGGGTCGACAGCTCCATTGCTAGCTTCAAGCTTAGCGTATTTGAGCTACGAGCGGTTATGATAAAGTCTATGGATCGCCGAGTCCGGTGGTGCAGCTGGATTGGTGAGGATAGCTCTGGATCAGGTCGTAGGAGGATGGCATGGATCAAAGCTGAAGCTGTTTCGGCGCTTTTGACAATCGCCAGTGATCAGCTGATTTTTAGTCGCCATTGCGTGGCTGCTGACACTCAAGTACGGAGAAATCTGGCAAATAACATTTCGCATTCGAAACGTTATCCCTTGAAGTTGCTTGATGTTTCGCACACTACTTACGTACAATACACTAGTTCTCAGGACTTGGCTTCAACTCTAAAGACCGCAACCGACAATGGGGCGAGTCTTTGAGGAGTTCGTGGACAGCTCGCGCGTGTTCCGGTGCGCCAAATGCTGCGCGCATCTCGCGCGCAATGAGGACATCATTTCTAAGGTCGTTGTCGCTCTTTTCATTCCTTCCTCGCTGTCTCTAACTCTTGCTGTTTATCATTATCAGAATTTCCAAGGCACCAGCGGCAAAGCCTACCTCTTTGACACTGCGTACGCTGTCTCGATACTTTTCTTTATTAAAACACATTTTTATTTTATCTCTATGATCTTATTGTACTTCAGAGTCAACGTGTGCACGGGTCCGCCGGAAGAGCGGATGCTCATGACGGGGCTGCACGTTGTACTGGACCTTTACTGCAACACGTGCTGGAGCCCCGTGGGCTGGAAATACGTACGCTACGCCGTCACTCCACGTGTCTTGAATGCTGCGTTAGACTGAACTCGAGCTTTTCACCTTGTTGCTGTTTGGTTGCCGATGCCTACACGCAGAAAGAAGCGCACAACCCGTCGGAAAAGTACAAAGAAGGCAAATTCATTCTCGAGTTAGCCAAGACGGACCAGTTGCCCTGAAGACAGCGGAGCTTACGCCAAATCTGCGCTGGACAAGCAAGAGGACACTACAGCAACAAGGTGGACGACAAGTGACCGTGTACGCGTATAACCAAGTGACGTTGTTGTGTATCCACCCACCGCCTTGTGCTCGTTTTCCTCTTCAGAGGAAGTCGCTCGTGTATCGCTTCTGCTCCAACTCACGCAGAGGATAATAGTGTGCCTGCACCTGGTTCCCGCCGAAGAAGCGTCCGTGTAGCGCCTGCTTGGCCTTCGCGGCTCCCGCTGCATCGTCAAACAACACAAACACACGCACGTGGTCTGCTAGCTCGTGGATGTCCACCTTGTTGACGCTACCGAACTTGCCACACTCGCCACGCACCTCGTCCTCCAGCTCGTCGTCCACTTCGCCGCAGTTCACGAGGTTCACCAAGCAGAGACAACACTTCGCGTCGGTCTCTGTCGTGTCCTTGACTTTCTCCACGTCGTCCTCGCCAAATGGTTTCTTCTCTGGCGCCGCTATTACGTTGGCTCCGCTCGTTGTAGCTCCTGATCCATCACGCACCACTTTGTCCTGACTCGTCGCGAGATTGATGAGCATAGCGGCCTCACTGGCCTTGCCAACCTTGAGTGCCTGTCCCGCCAGCTCGAACCCGTTCATGTGCTGGATCGCACTCAACGCGCAACTCTCCTCCACGAACCTCATGAAGCCATAACCGCGGTGCTACACAGGGTACAACAGGCATTTGCATCAGCATCGCCACGTATTAACTCCGTATTTTGCAGTCCTCACCACTCCCGATTCCAAGGGAGACACTGCCGTCATGACACACGAGTGGATAGCTCCAAACGGAGAGAAAATGCTCTCTAAGTGCTGACTGTTGAGCTCCACGCGTACGTTGGCAACGTAAATGCACTTGGTCGGAACACTGTCCACACGTCAAGAGCCTCGTCAGCGAACAGCCTCCAACCGAGCAGGAATTACAATTGCTCACTTCTTGATCGCCTCCTGTCCGATCGACAACGAATCGTTCGAGTTTGTATTTCCTCGATGCGGGCGACCAACCTGCAGTTAGCACAGCTCAGCATGACACACACAAAACACACACAGATCGCCTTCAAAACATGCCGCAGAACGCACCCGAATCGCTCGGTTGGCCAACGGCGTTCCATTCAGCACTTGCACGGCGCTCTCCGCTGCCAACACATCCTCGTACTCCAAGAAGCAGAAACCCTTGGACCGCGAGGCACTGCACACAGCCAAATCATCGTCAGAATTATCTTACACGCCACGTCAGCGCTGTCTGCTGCTCACCCAGGCTCCAGCGACAGATCAATGGAGCGGATGGTCCCAAACGGCGCAAACACGTTGCTGATGTCCTCCTCCTTGAGGTCGTAGTACAAATTGCCGATGTAGAGTCGTCTTGCCAGGTCAGTGGGCGACACATTGGTACCGGGAACGTTTAGTGACAGCAGACTCGCTTGTGCCAGCGCCCGCGCCCTCGCCGCCTGTGCGTCCAATTGACCGCCGGCGCCCTACAGCAACAGCGCAGCACGAGGATGAAACTGAAGCCACACACATCAAAATCCGGACATGTTACAGACGCTGACACAGTAGACAGAGACGTACGATCACAGGACGCGAGGCCGCCGCCGCCAGCGCCTGGAGCTCCTCTGGTGTTGACTTTTCTTGGACGACGCTCGACAAGCGCTTGACGATGTCGCTCAGCGCCTTGGGACTAGCCGACGTCTTGCGATTGGCCACGTCTTCGTGCTCGTCCTCGTCGTGGCCCCAACGCGTGCGGCGTGAGCGCTTGACATGCTCGTGGGTGTCACCGTCCGCCTCGAGTGCGCGCTTCGTTGACGACATGCTACGTCTTTGCATTGTGTACAGAACCTCAAAATAAAAGTCTGAGTTGAGCATGTAGCCATATTGTTGTACTTCGTACTGCACACATGTATTGTTTCAGAATTGTTTCTCTCGTACCTGCTCGCCCAGCAAACACTGCAGACTCGGAGCCTATTTCCTTCAGCACTGCCTGGACTCGCATCGTCGTTCGCGAGGACCCGATCGTCATAGCTACCTTGCTTTTCTCACTCTACCTACAACTGCCTACATGTACCTTAATCAACATCTACCCAGTCTTCCTTCACTCGTTCCTCTCTCTACCCGCGGATATCTTCTCGAGGATTCAGTAGACTACGACGTGACAGAGACGGCGAGAAGGGGGAGAAGTCGTCCTCGTCGTCTGCGAATTTGGGCAGATTCTCGGCGCCAAGACTTCCTGGAGCATTGATCTCGTCCGCGTGGAAGCCACCGTTCTCGCCTCCTGTGGGCGAATCGATCGAGCTGAATCTCGTCAACCGCCGGTTCATCTGCATGAGAGTACGAGGGGAAACCATGCCATGTGCGAGCTCGTACAGCTCCGCGTTGGAAAGTGTACCATTCTGTGCTGCAAACGAAGCGGCGACATTTGCACCGACTCCGTTTGCACTGCCGTTCTTTCTTGCATCTTTGAGGTGGAACAGATTGAACGGCTCCGTCTCTGCATGAGCGCCACCGTTCTCCTCAAAGCACTCACGACAATGACGCACTGGATGCAGCAGCCCAACCTCAGGGATCGACATGCGTTGTGACGTGCACTTGGCACACATCCACTTGCCGCATCGTTTGCACGAGTGTGGGCGACGGAAGAGCTTGAACGGCGTGTGGCATGTGGGGTCTTGGCAGTGAGTGACAGTCTTCTTGTCCGGTTTCTTGAGCTTCTGTGATAATACCGAATAATCTCGAGCCATTTTCTGGATGGTATCGGCCGCATTGGACAGCAAGTCCTTCCACAGATCCCTGTCCTCGAGTTTAGTGACACTGAAATGCATCTCCTTAGCTGATACCTTGCTGTCTTCGTCGCTTTGTTGATGGTCGTAGGCTGTGATGTACAGACCGTGGTGGCCTACGGACGAGTGGGTCTCGTCCTGGCCGTGCGTGTAGCGACTCCGAACTGACAGCGGGACGATCCACTTCCACTGAATCGCGTGTGTTTCGTCCACTTCACTTGGATAGAAATACCACAGTTTATGTGAGCCGTACTCGTACACTACAAGTGCTTTCTTCCACTCTCGACCGCCGTGTCGCTCTTTGAACAAGTATCCAAACGAACATCCGTCTCCCTCCAGGAACGACGATCCAAAGCCGTGTGCTGTGGAATAACTTGGTCGACTAATCTGGTTAATGATATCTTCCTGGAACGTGGGGGGCGTGGGTGGATTCGCTCCAAATGGCGGCGACGACGAGTTCGACACATCCGCCGGGGACAGCGCAGGAGGGGTTCCGACCGTCAAAATGCAGCTGAACGGGTCTTTCTTGGCCAATTCCTCCGACGCCTTAACCAGCTTCCTCCACACGGGATTGGTCTTCATTTCGCACTGGATATGCTCCTGACTCCTCGTCTTCGGGTCCTTGTAACACATCTTCAGGGCTTCCATGATCAGCTTCAAGTTGGAAAGGGCATCAGTGCCAGCCAAGTTGTCGTACTCCTGTTCGCCGTTGCTGTCAATCGCGTCGCGGTTTAGATACACCTTGCAGAGTAAAGGCGCCAGCTTGGCGTCTTCGCCTTCGGTCTGCAAAATGCGCCCAATGATCGGGCATTTCCGCGAGCGTTTACTCTTGAAATCGCCGATACAGAACACCAGCATCTTGGTAATCTCGCCCAGCAACAAGTTCCACATCGGGTATTTCTCGTAGCACGTGATGAGCGTGGTGATCACGTGCGCTCCTACGAACATCCGGTCCAACCGCTTCGACTCGTTAGACAGTACAGAGTTCAGACACTTGACAACTGACCACAGATGGTAACCAGACGCTCTGCGAGTGTTGAAAGTGATCACTTGCTTGAGGAAAACCATCAGTTCGTGTCCCTTGCGTTCCATGCACGTGATCAGACATTCGCGCAGTCGTCGATACTCTCGTACGTTGCTACGCCAGTCGTCGCTGCAGAAGATCTCCAGCTCGTTCAGATCGCCATCAATCACAGCCTGCAGCAGAGTAATCCACGCCTGTTTCTCTTCTTCAGAAGAAGCTGCAAAGTACTCAATAGACTTGACTTCCATCGACGAGGATTCGTCTTCTTTTCCGATTCGTCGTTGGTGATGCACCATGGCGTTCGCGGGGGTCACAGCTGCGTGTTGTGTGGCTGGCGAGTTCTTGCTGGCGTCGGGAAGCTTCTTCTTCACAGTCACACTGAAGCCGAACTCGTGCCAATCTGAACTTTGCACGTTCTCCATCTCGTCCAGTGTAATGACACTCTGGTTGCCTAGATTCGGCGTGAACGCCTGGTCCAGACTGGCCGACTTGGGCGGCTGATCTTCACGCACTGCTGTCGTCCGGAGTCCCATCATGCAGTTCAAACTCACTTGACACACCTGCAGTTCGTTTTTCAGCTTCTTTTTCACCAGCAGATTTCCCTTTCGCATGAGATGAGTGGAGCACAGAAAGTTGAGGCAGTCAATGCCCACCGAAGCAGCGGAATTGCCGCCAGCGTTCCGATTATCGGTGAATTCCACCGTCTCCGTCAGCTCAAAGAGATGCATGAGCATTGTAATGCACGTCGGTCGCGGATGGCCCTGTGACAGCAGCATCAACGACTCAAGCGAAGCCACGCTACCTCGTCGCTCCCGGGTCAACGGTGTACTCCAGAACGTCAGCTCCTTGATCATCTGCACGAAAAGCAGTTCTAACGCGGCCTGGTGCTCCTGCATAAACAGATGGATGAGTCGTCGAACCTTGCGAGATGTGTACTTGCGTAGGGCCGAGTTGGCCGTCTCTCGCGAGGCTCCGCAGATCGACACGTACTCGTCCTGGCCTGTCACCTTGTCCAGCGGGATGGTCTTGGCCGAGATGGCCACGCCGCGTCCTGTCAAATACGGCGCATGCACAATCTCACGCAGCAACATGAAGGTGTTTTCAATGCAGTCACGCTCGAAGGCGTTGCGAGGCGGGGAAAAAGTCACCTGTTTCTGAATCAGCTTCTGCATCATGTGCGTTTCGAACAGCGACGTGATGGCCGCCTCCGAGTGCTCGGCGTAGATGAGGTGCAGCAGCAAAGTGCGAATATCGTCGTGGCCAATGTTGGCCAGCAGCATATCCACGGTGGCCGGGTGCTCCGCTAAGAAATGCAAGATACACGCACCTTTCTGTCCTCGGATGGCAAAGTACCGTAGCACCTGCGACGCGAAGTTGGCCGAGTCGTGGCTGAAGATTCCGTACATGGCCGTCTCATTCACTTCGGTTGTCAAGGGGGCCGGGATCCCTGTATCATCTGGTTCGTCCGAGTCCGAGTCCTCGTCCCTCTCCGTCACGCCTGAAATCTCGGCGCTGTCCCTGTGTCTTGGAAGCTTTTGTTCAGTTGTCTCCTCCATCAAGTTGCAGTCTCCATTGACCGGAGTTCTGGGAGATGGCAGCGGTGACACAATGGCCTTGATCTGGGCTGCGTCTGCATCAGCTCCAAGCGACGACCTGGCCGAGGACTTGCGTCGTCTGGCCAGCTCCTCTGGGTCTCCTTCATTCTCCTCCTGATGCTCGGCAAAACTCTGTTGTAGTGTCTCAGCACCATCTTTTTCAAAGACCTGCACGGCCACTTGAATGAGCTCCTCCAGCTCGGCCACTGAGGCCAGGCGCTCCTTGCGTCGTAGTGGGGTGTCGCACTTGGACGAGACGCCGTCGGCCTCGCGCTGTAGCGTGTCAAATATCGAGTCCCAGAATTCGGAGCATTGGTGCGGTTTCCCCGGTTCACAGGCCGCGATGGCGTTCACAGCGCCACCTACGACGATGAATTGCGCGGCCATGGCCCGTGTGTGTCTCGGATAACTCGCGTCCAGCGCCAAGCGGATAAATTCGAGCGTCTTCTCCCTCGAGAAGATAATACCACGCAGTCGGCCAGTCATGCGCTTGAAGAGCAGCTCCAGCATCTCAAGCGAAAAGCTGTCATTCAGCAGCTGTGCCAGGGTGTACTTCTCGCTCATGAGTCCGTCCACGAACTTCTCAATGTTGGCCCGAACCTGCTCCGCCGCCTTCTTGCGCTCCACTTGGAGCGAGGCCTCACTGGACGTGGGCGACGACGGACCCGACCCTGGCGGCGTCGCGGCACCCTTCTCCAACATGGCCTGAGAATCTACACGACGGTCGAGCTACGGCGAGGATGGATGGGAGAAAAATGAGCACGCTTTCATGTGTCGGGCGGTACCACCGACACGTGGTATCCTATGTGTTCTGGAAGGTTTTTTAGTTCTTTTCCTCTGTACATTTAGGAAAATTTGAGAAAGCTTTCGACGTAACCCACCTGTAAAAGCAGGGAACTCGTTTAAGCAGGGTTTGGCCTGGCTTCTTGCTTTTTTTTTCGACTCTAAAATTTAGAAGCTTCTAAACTTCCTTGGTTCAGGTTGCAGTAGTTCGCAGCTTCACTACAGAGCTTTTTGTGCTAGTACTAGTACTTCGACGTGATAATACCCTATGTCTCAAGAAAAAATGCAGTGTCGTTGGAGTCACTCAATTGACAAAATCCTCTTTGGATTTGACGCACGGCTTCTTGAACATTAGATTATCCTCGCTTCCCTGTTTCGAGACTTCAAATGCGTTATCGGACATGAAGTGCAGGTGCCTCCAGTATGTCCCAGGATTCCTGGGCCAGGAAACAGAGGGCATGAAATGACTGTCGGCGTAAAACTCACCGTGAAAAACGGAATGCGCGCCGTTGGCCCATTTTGCGTCCTATTTCCGGCCGTCTTTGCACCGCCATCACTTGGAAACTCCAGTGCAACTTGAAGCAGTTGAAGTTGCCTGGGTCATGGGCAACATCTGCCACGCAGGCTCGGGTGCCGGCACCAAGGCCAAGACCAAGTCACGTTCATCGACAGGCAGCTCCAAGGCCGCACCCACATTCGGCAAGGATCCGACGCTCAAGCGCGAGGATTTTATCTTCTCCAATATCCAAACAGCATCGTTTCTGGCCAAACTCCCTGGCAGTATCAATGGCCAGCAGTTCCTCATTGAGGAGTGCCACAACTGCGATATCTTCCTGCTGGACCACTGCACGTCTGTGCAGATCGACGCCTGCACCAACTGCCGCATTGTCGTGGGGCCCTGCGAGAGCAGCGTCTTCCTGCGCAACTGCAAACGCTGCACCGTTGTGTGTGCCGTGCAGCAATTCCGCGCACGCGATTGCGAGGACGCATCAGTGTACCTCTACAGCTCCACGGGTGAGTGAGTACAACAACTTGAGAAGAAATCTTGAAACACTAACGGTTGTCGATTAAAATGTTTTCAAGAGCCAATCATTGAGACGTCCAGTGGCCTGCGGTTCGCATGCTTTCCACTCACCTATTTCTCATTGCAGGAGCAGTTCCGTCAGGCCAAATTCTCGCCCTGGAACAACAAATGGAGCGAGGTGGGTGGATCAGTCCTTCGAGGTTGTTATGTATGTAAAATGGCGCTGACTTTGTCGTTGTCGTAGATTTTCGACTTCACTCCGGATCACGGCGGGTGGAAGCCACTGCCGATGCGTCGTCATGAATCTCCACTGGCTGAAATGATGCAAGACAAAGAAAACAACGGAGCTCGATCGCTCTGGAAGATGCCATCGTGGACGGCAGAGGAATTGGGTCTTTCGGTGGACTTACCGCAGTTGGTGGTGCCGATCACCAGTGGGCTTTGTGCCAGGAAGGCCGACGTGCCGACGCTGTTTGTGTGCTTTGCAGTGGTGGGTGATGCGCGTGAAGGATTACATGATGGCTTTATGACATGATCAAACGATTCTATGTTTGCAGCCCAACGAAGCTCTCATGACGAACTTCGTGACCGAGATGGCAACGAAGAAGAGCGACGACAGTGATGAGCCTACGCTACTTATCCGCACCAGGCAAATGCAGCTCACAAGCGAGCAGGCAGCAGCATTGTTCCTGGATAACACTAGTTTGGCTGGGGTACGCACGTTGCTTGGAATATTACCTGCTGTCCACTATTGATTTCATGCGATTGTTTTGATTTCGGGCAGAAAGCAACTGAGGCAGCTAAAAGCACGGCTGGATCCGTGATGATGGAGTTCCAGGGACCACAATGCTATTGTCACTGCAATGAAACGGTACAAGGTGTTCGTTTCGCGTCTGAGGCTGCGGCTAGAAACAATATATTCATGTCCAAGGATACCGCGTCTGCATTGTACGTTTGCACCTTCAGTCGTCTCAGTAAGTTGCTTGGTACATTCGTTTTTTAACGATCACCCTTGGATTGCTACAATTGTAGACGCCTGAGCGATCTCATCTTTCAGCAATGGAAAAACGTTATTTGATCCAGACGGCGCAATTTGCTTTATATTACCTCAATTTAATGTCTATCACCGAGCTCGTTTATACATGCCTTGACGTTGTAAACGCAATTCTTTCAACTGGAGTATTCGTTTTGATTCGCACCAATTCAACCTAGAATTTCGAGAAAAGCTTGGTTTGTCAATTTCGGATGCGTCGTTTGAAGATATGTATCCACATGCGAAGCCCCTCCCTCCCCATCCGTGACGACAATAGTGAGATCATAGCAGATCGACATCAGCAATGTCGACTTCAATATGACGTCTCATTCGAGCTCATCACTTCATGTAGCTCGCATCGAATGGCAGAAATCATGGATGATTTTTTGGCCCGACAGTCGGATATCGATGATAATAGGTCCATCGTTTCAATGTCGGCGCTGTGGTGCTATGACGACGTATGAACCAGTGATGGTGTAGTGTAGCCCGGGATTTGAAGCGAAGCAGGAATACCAGCAAGGCGGGGGCCAACCCGCACTGAAGTATAGGCCGAATATATTTAGCTAGTTCCTAGCAAATCGAAGAGTGAGGAGCATCATGGGTCTGGCGCTAGCCAGCCCGTTCCTCCTCAATGCTGCTGCCACTTGATCAGAGCGACAGGCAGCAGTCAGAAATGGACATGCATCCACATGAAAGGAAACATGCAGTAGGCCTTACTAAATCCTAGTATAATACACAAGGACACTGGCTGTCCGAGTGTCTGTGATATCGTCAGCCGACAGGCGTCAGACACACCACCAGATTTCCACCCATTGTCTTCTAGCCACTGGGCTGTAGACACATTTGGGTGGACACCCCCAGCTCCGGCTCTAAGTGCAAGGGAAACCGAGGTGGAAACCCACAGTTCACTACACAGCCCCCGAAGCTCGGTTTCACCTGTTCTCGTCTTACCGATCACCGTCACAGTAGTGTTCACCAAAATAACTAACTGCCCTGGCCCTGGTCCCTACGGCGACTTGAACGGCGTGGCTGAATACGTGAAGGCGTCCCAACCCGCATCTCAGCTCGTACTCGGCGACCTCGAGGAGGTGGAGGCTCTTGGACCTCGGCACCCAGGTGCAGCTCACCATCCCCGTCCGCAGTCTGCCCCGATGTCTGTTGTGAGTCGGCCTGAGGCTCTTCCTCAGTCGCTCGATTACTTCTCCGCTTGGGTCTGCTAGCGGTTCTGAGTCGTCGCTTCTGTCCAGTGAGACGAGGACGTGCCTGCTGGGCTTCACCCTGCGGCCCCCGCGTGTCACAAGTCGACGGTGTTGTTTCGGAGTCCGTGTTCGGCCGCACTTCCAGTATTAACTGGCGATCCGCGTGGACTAGACCCTCTTCACGACCTCCTTGAAGCCGTTGCCAGTGCTCACGAAGCCGCTGGTCATCGGTACTTGACACATAGCTCCCAACCAATACTCGGATCTCCTTGGTCAAAGCACCCATGGGTTCATACGAATCCTCGATAGGTTGTAGCCCTTTCCAGCTTACCAGGATTTCAAAGTCATTGATGTCACTATTCCACTTGTATCCCTTTAGTCCTTCTACTGCCAACACGATACCTTGTGAGGACACATGCTCCAAGAGCTCGTCCGTCACCTCCAGGCTATCGTCGGAGTAGAACTTTAACCTTGATGCATGGACATCTTGTTCATCACCAGTCACGAGGTGCTTCACACGAAATGAATGGGCGTCGGCTCTCGTTACCTTGTACGGACCAACCCACATCACCTGTAACTTGTTGCCGTGCTTCTCGTCCACTCGGGACCTTAGCACATAATCACCGATGGTGAAGTTTACCACGTTCTCACCACGTTCACGTTTCTTATTCAGGAGTCTTTGTTTCTCTCGTCTGTCCTTCACCGCACAGTGCATAGACCTTATGCTCTCCCTCAAGTTCTCCAGGTAGCCGTCTATCTCAGCACTAGCAGGGATTGTTTGCAGGCGGCGTCTGTCAGGCAGGTAGAACTCGCTCAGCGGCGTCGGGTTTTCCAATCCCGTGAACAACTCCAATGGCGAATGGTTGCCTAAGGAAGGCACAGCAGTGTGGTTCAGGTTTGACTGCACTAATGGCACCAAATACACCCAATCTTTGTGACTAATCCGATATTCCAGCGTCATCGCACGAATGACCTGGAGAATGTCACGGTTAATTCGCTCGATTGAACCATTTACCCATGGACTGTATGCCGGCGTAAACGTCTGCTGCGTGCGGAGTCTTCGACTCAGCTCAGCCACCACTTCGTTCTTGAAGTGTGTCCCTTGATCTGATACCTAGGACGGCGGTATTCCATAGCGAGAGTGCCAGGCTAGTAAAGCTTCCACCACAACAGGACTTTCCGCTGAGTCAGCCACCACTAGTTCGCAGTAGTGGGTTGCGTGGTCTTTAAGAGCCAGAATGTAGCAACCCGTTCCGTAGCTCGGGCCCAGATATAGGTAATCAAAATGAAGGACCTTGTTTCGCTCGTTGCACTTTATCAGTTCTCCCCACGGTCTTGGGATAATTTTCCCCCCTCGGGAATGCAAGCAGAGCAAACAGTCATTAACGAATGTAGCCACAATCCTTCGTAGGTTGTCGATTGAGAAAAGACTTTGGAGGTGCGACACCATTGCTTGCTGGCCACGATGTCCTTGGCTTCCGCAATGTGCCACAATGCACAGCCTCCGAATTAAGTCAACAGCTTCTGCAGGAATCCAAATATAGTCATTCAACGTAAGAACGCCATTTTCCGAGCGCACCGCACAGTCCGGTGGCGGGAATTTGGACTGCGTTTCCACGAGCTCAGCAAAGGAAGGCCACACAAACTTATCGTCGTCAAGCGGTCTGAGTTCAGTACGTCGGCGAGGTTGACTGCGCCGGATCGTTTATAGCCGCTTCAAGTTTGCCCTCGGTGTGTGGTTGCCAGCCCACCGAGAAACCATGTCAGCCCAGACGTTCTCGGGTCCAGGTACGTGCTCCACGATGTATTGGAATCCCATAAGTTTCATGGACCATCGTAACAACTTTCCTTTCACGTGTTTCTTGACACTCTCATCAGGTGCGAAAACGTGTACCAAGTTCCGGTGATCGCAGAACATCCTGAAAGCCTTGGGACGGAGAAGAAGATAGTCCAGCTTTTCGCAGGCAAGGACAATGGGTAAAGCTTCCTTCTCTATGACTGTAACGGGCCAGGTATTTACTCCGTTACTTGCTTACACTATAGTGTTGAGGAAGCTCGACATAGGACGACTGAGTCTTAGGTTTAAGGAAAAATCAACTCTGACTTTATTTTAGGACCAAGGCCACAGCCCTGGCCACTCAAATACACGTCATAGTCCAATTGGCTAATAATGGGTCTGGCTCCCCATATATCAGCCAATGGCATTTCAGCACACGCTAGTCGTGTGCTGATGCACCTACTTTTGTAAAGAAATCTACCTACTTATGTAATGGAGGGGCCCATTACAATGACGGTCCAGTTGAGCTGGCTACCAGTGAAAGTTCCACTCATACAGGTAAGTAACCTGTGTTGTTGTTGTGTCACAGAAGTCTTCGGATCAAAGTTGGCTACTTGTGTCACGATTACCGCCCAGCCCATGTCGCTGGCGTCGGTGAACAAGCAAGTCGTCGCGTTGTCGTCCGTATACGCCAAGGTGGCCGCATCAGCCAACATGTCCTTGACTCGGTCAAATGCCAGACGCTCTTCGGTAGTTAACTGAACTTTGATCCCAACTGCAACTCTTTTCGTCCGCTTTGTGTCAGCGAGCGCTGCATCTAGTCGGCTCTGGAGAGGCTGGACTTGACGGGCGAAATCCACGATACTCTCTCGCATCCAGTTTATTGCGCACACAAACTGCTGGAGCTCACCAGCAGTAGTAGGGTATGGCATCGAGCGTAGTGTCTCGATTCTCTCGGGGTCATGGCGGATACCTTCGCCATTGATGAGTTTACCGCACCACTTAACCTCTGTTTGGTATAAGCTCGTCTTCTTCGCACTCAACTTGAGGCCAAACTTATTGAGAAGAGAAAAAAACTCAGCGAGTTTGTTTAGGTAGACGTCAATGTCGTTTGCGTACAGCAGGAGGTCATCAATCCAGATGAGGAGGTGTTTGTACAGCAAGCTACTGAAACACTCCTCCATAGTCTTTTGAAAGTGGATGGCAGCATCACTTGAACCTTGGGGAACCCGTCGAGGTGTGAAGATTTTCTCGTCTGTCATATACGAGAACCACTCTTGACAGAACTCAGCCAAAGGCAATTGCCAGAATCCTTTAAGGAAATCAAATAATCCAAAGTGTCTCATTCCACTTGCGTTTTCCACCACTAACGAAAGAATAGGCATAACGGCTGCCATTACACTGGTCTGCGCGTTCGTAAGTCTGTAGTCCACCGTCTGCCTTACGTCCAAAAGATCTGAGGACTTCTTCACTGGGAGCACGGGGCTCGACCAACGGCTCTTTGGGTTTTCATACACCAACTCTAGTTCAACAAGACGACTGTTAAACTCTCGAAGAAACTTGCGGATGTGAGGAGGATATTTGCGGGGCTTACACTTAGTAGGTCGAGCCCCATCCTGCAACTTCACTTCCATCGGCGGAACATTGGCCGGGGGATCCGCGCGTAACTCCAGTCGCCACACGTCGTACGCGTGTACAATTGTGCGTAATTGCTCCACGTGATCCAACGGGAAGCCACAATCCACTGCACGGTCGACCAAATTCTCCACTGCAGCAAAAATGTCAACATCATTACTGGGGGAAGGTTCATGAACCTGTGCGGACATCTCATCAGCTTCCAAATGGATTGGATCACCGGCTAATTCATCATCACCACGGCTCGCCAATTGTTCCAGCTGACGATCGACATCGATTCCCAACAGCGTGAGTAGATCATTTCCAATGATAAACTCGTCGTCGTCACAATCGACAACGTGAACCTCCACCAGATTCATCGGCTCCACAGGTCCAACTGCCGTGTGAATTCGCACTTGCAACATAGCCTTCTGTACTGCCGTCACCTTCTTGTCTCCAAAGGCTTGACTCTGTACTGGAACTTCAAGCTGTTTGACTTGGACTTCAGGGTCCACTGCCAGTAATTGCTTCCAGTGCGATTGGCCAATAACTGTATGGTCCGAACCACTATCTGGGCAATACGGAAGCTCCAGTACGCCATTTAGCAAGACAGTACGGTCTGTAGTTGGCAGAAGTTCTCCAAGCCGCTTCGTCCTAGCCTTCTTGGTATTTCTTGCGTTGCGAAAGCGCTTGAACAGCTCTGTTTTCTCATCCTCAGTCGCATCCGGACATTCGCGTAGCCAGTGCATCCTTTCACACTTAGGGCATGGCCCTGGCGGCGGTCTTGACGAAAACTTTGGCTTTGTGTCTTGATTCTTGTTGTCCTTCCAGTTAAGCTTGACCTTCGCATGCTCCGCAGGTCGGTTCTGCTTGTCCTTTTGCTTGAAAGGCTGTTTGGCCTTGGGCTTCTCCTCTCGCCCTGGAGCCTCACGCTTCTGCGTCTTCAAACGGAGATACTAACTCTGTCGCTTTCTCGGCGATAAGTCGGAACAGTACCTTGGGGTCTCTCTCCGCAGCAGCGTGTTTATAGCGGATGGACCGTTTTACTTCTTGCTTCAGCATGGGTGGCTTCAACGCCGAGATCAGTCGTTTGCATTTCTCTCGTGTCCCACGCTCAAGGCTGAAGCACTCAGTCAAGCCATTATCGGCGACTATCGTCTTAAAGCATCTGAAGTAGTCCATGACGCGAGCTGTCACGTCGCTTTCCGCCAAATTCATCTTCAGCTCTCTCTTGAAGAGCTCCTTGATATCAGGTAGCGCCTTGTTCTTGACGCTCCCCACGATGTGTTCGATCTCGGCGATCAACATCCCTTCAGTCACGTCCACAGTCTCCACATTCAACTGGAACTCACAGAAGACGTCCAGGAGATCAGCGTCGAACGAGTCCTTGATCTGCTCTACCACCGCATCGTAGTCTTCGCCAGTCACTCTGCATCTGTTGTGAAGCTTCGTCTCGTAGTCTCGTCGCTCCTTCTTCCAACGTACAAGTGCCTCGTGCGAGATAGACTTGATCTTGGGTGGTAGTACTGGCAGGAATACCGGTACAGTACCGGTTGGTGGTTCACCATTACCACCGGCGCGTATCATCTCGAAGTAATCGCGCTTGGTCTTGAAAGTAGTACTTGCTGTCAATCAAAGTTGTAGACGAACAGCAGTCGATGGCTTCAACGTCACTGGACGCGCGTCGATGGTGCGCGAGCAGCGGAAATCACTAAAGAATTTTTTGTAGTGTAGCCCGGGATTTGAAGCGAAGAAGGAACACCAGCAAGGCGGGGGGCCAACCCGCACTGAAGTATAGGCCGAATATATTTAGCTAGTTCCTAGCAAATCGAAGAGTGAGGAGAATCATGGGTCTGGCGCTAGCCAGCCCGTTCCTCCTCAATGCTGCTGCCACTTGATCAGAGCGACAGGCAGCAGTCAGAAATGGACATGCATCCACATGAAAGGAAACATGCAGTAGGCCTTACTAAATCCTAGTATAATACACAAGGACACTGGCTGTCCGAGTGTCTGTGATATCGTCAGCCGACAGGCGTCAGACACACCACCAGATTTCCACCCATTGTCTTCTAGCCACTGGGCTGTAGACACATTTGGGTGGACACCCCCAGCTCCGGCTCTAAGTGCAAGGGAAACCGAGGTGGAAACCCACAGTTCACTACAGATGGGTAAAGATGTACGGGGAGGGGCATTTCAAAGAAGACAGCTCTAGGCAATATGTATTGGAGTAAGCAGTAAGAACTGCAATGCTCACCGAGCTTGCAATATCGATTGCGATACCTGGTGCAGCCTGCGCTACCATGTCGGCATGTCTGTTGTGCTTTAAAACCAGCAACTTCTCAAAGTTAGTAATTGCAGTATCACACGGAAAGAGACTAATCACAAGTACAAAAGGCAGAAAAACGAGTGCAGTTAAATTTTCAAAAATAAATTGAAAACTGGACAGAAATCATGGATATACCGGTACAACCGGAAGAACGTCGAGTTCACCTTCGTTTCGGGGTGAGCTTCGCAAGCTTTTTATTTGTAGACTTCTGATTCTTCAATGTTTTTGCGGAACCTACATTTTGCTGAAATGTGAAGTCAACTTGCTTACTTCACATCTACTTCACATTGCGCAGGTTTCAAATTTTGAAACCTAAAAGTAATCATTAAGTAATCTTTATCTCGAGAGCATCCGCGGGAAAAGTCTGTTGTTTTGTATCGGGCCCTTCGGCTCCCCGAGAGTTTGTCTTGCAGCAGCCTCATGGAACGCACTCGGAGTAGCGGAGCAGCCGACTGTGCGCGCAAGCGCAAGCGAGGGGCGCTACAGGATATCAGCAACAATGCCAAGAAACTGTCGCAATCGCGCCCATCATCACGGCGTAGTTCAGGCGTCGTGAAAAAGGAGAAAAAGGAGACGGGGAACGATGCAAGTTCGAAGGCGTCGCGGGCCTCTGTGCGCCGCAAGACGACAGCCACGACCGTTAACTCGGCGCTCAAGAGCTCCATGGCGTCCACAGCCGCCAGTAAAGCCAAGAAGCGTGCACCCGCCGGCAAGAAGACGGAGACCACTCGCACCAAGAAGCGGAAACTCGAGGGTGCCGAGAACCAGCCGCCCGCTCCGCATCAGAAGATCCAGACGAGTATGTTATCATTCCAGGCGCCTTCGAAGCCCAAGGAGAATCAGGAGTATGCAGAAGCGGACAAGGAGAACGTCAACGTTAAGACAGAGGTGAGATGTTTGTAGTGGAAGGGGGCTTATAGAAGTTTCTGATGAGATATATGCAGGTGGACAATCAGGTGGAGACTGTGACAGTGAAGCAGGAAGTGGTCGAGAAGACAGAGGTAGCAGAAGCTGCTCAAGTGAAGAGCGAGGAGAGAAAAGACGACACGCCAGAGGTTCAGGCGCCGGAACAGACTGAGAGGGAGACTACTGCACCAACCCCCGCTGCAGCACCGCGTGACGAGTATGCGCCTCGTCCATACACGTTCTCATTCGACCACAAGAACTCATGTTTTGACGAAGAGACGTACGCTACATCAGTGCGTGATATTGACGCACCGTCGGCCACTGTGAGCTCGCACCACGCGAAGCTGGTCCGTGAGTTGGACATTTATTACAGGAAACATGAAGTCAAGTATCTGCCCGAAGCAGACTACATTGGCACCGTGCAGCTGGATATTAACGAGAAGATGCGCACCATTCTGGTCGACTGGCTCGTCGAGGTCGGAGAGGAGTACGAACTCGACTCGCAGACGTTCCACAAAGCGGTAGGACTGACCGTACTTTCCCAGTACGTCTTGGCTATGAGTTTCTTATATTGCTCCGTTGTCTACACTTGCTCTAGGTAAATCTGGTGGATCGCTGTCTGAAGAAAATCAAGATCAACCGCAAGCAATTCCAGCTCCTTGGCTGTGCTTGTATGATGATTGCCGCAAAGTTTGAGGAGGTCTACGGTCCGAATGTCGAGGAATTTGTCTACATTTCCGACCAGACTTACACTGCGGATGAGGTACGAAGCCTGTTGTCCTCTCATTTACGTCCTATTGCTAATTAACTGGGATGGATGTTGCAGATGATGAACATGGAAGTACAAGTGCTAACGGCACTGCAATACCGCGTTGCGTCGACTACGTGTTACGGGTTTATGCATCGCTTTATGAATGCAGGGTGTACAACGGACATGCAGCGGTCTCTGGTATTGGTGAGTAACTGACACTCTTGTTGGCAGTCTTGTATCGCTAAGATTGGTTTCTTTCTGCAGTATCTCAGTGATTTTGCACTACTCTTTTACCACATGGTTCGGTTCAAGCCGTCGGTCCTGGTGGCCTCTGCTGTGTATCTTGCACGTTTAACGACTGGGGAAGCGGAGCCGTGGACTCCTACATTGCATCATGTCACCAAGTACAACCCACTAGAATTTCAGGACTGTGTCGAAGAGCTGCACCGTCTTCATACGATTGAATCCCAGGTGGTCAACACCCAGAGAGATAAGGCGAAGGCTGTGAGCGAGAAGTACCTGGCAGACAAGTTTCACCAGGCGAGCACTGTTCCTGCTTGCAGCAAAAACCAGTTGGCGGACTCCTTCGACCAGTACGCGCCTGCTTAAAGAGGAATGACCAATGTTCGCTTTGGTAATTAAGTTTGGACGGACCAGCCATCGTAGCACTACAGGAAGCAGACACTCGTCGGTATTACTACTATTTTCCATCATTTTGCCAGGTTACGTTTTTCCACAGTACGTAGTAGTATTGTTTGTATATTTTACATGTAGAGTACCTTCACCTCAAACTGCTCAAGCAGAAAACTGCAGCAATTATGAGCAATTACGAATGCCACGAATGGAGCACTTTAATTTCGTTCGAGACGCGGATCTTGGATAGCCTTGCCGCCCGAATGATGAATGGCGCAGACGGACGTCCGCGCTCTCTGCTGTCTTCGCGACAGCCCTGGTACTGAAATTGCTGACGAAAACAAATACCGTATTTCGCATGTAGAGCGCTGCACCCTCATATGAGATGCACCAAGATATTGACCAATCACATTCGGCTATCTTGAATTGAGGAAATCGCATGTAGAGAGATGCACCATTCCGTAGCCAACCAAGTCTTTGCGGCAAAATTTTCGCCGGCAGTCGGTCATTTGCCATGACACGCACGAAGCCTCGCCCAGTGGGCAGACCACGTGTCGGTGGTAAGGGACACCACCAGACCAAACACACGGTCAAGAGCATCACGGTGCAGAAGAAGCTAGACATTCTGTCGTTTTGGGAAAATGCTCCTCTTCCTAAAATGCGTCATACAATTGATCAGTTTTGGCACGATCTAAATCGCACTATGATTCAGCGCTGGCGACGGGAGGAAACAAAGCTAAGGTCAGCATTGAAGAAGAATAAAGGTGGCTATCAAAAGGTAAGGAGCTTAGGCGTAGGAACGATTCTGAGTAAGGAGGTAGAATTAAAGATTGTGGGGTGGGTGAACTGCTTAAGGGAAGAGGGTGTACCAGTATCGCCTCGAATGCTAGCGATTCAAGCGCGTCAGACTGCCGTGGGAGCTGGCATCAACGGGTTTAGAGCTTCAGATAAGTGGATTAAGGGATTTAGACTTCGACACCGCCTGAGTATGCGTGTACCTACTCGTCAAGGGCAAGTCAGGCCCTCGGATGCTGACAAGGTATAAGTAGCATTTGCTATTGAAGTCGAGAAGAAGGCTCGTCAGCTGGGTATCAAGCGCATTTTAAATGCAGACCAAACAGGTTCGTTTTATTTATTTTTTACTTGATGTTATTAAAACGCTTAAATTTAACTTTTTATTTAGCTGCTTTCTTTGAATATTTGACTGTGAAGAGAACGATCAGTAAACGCGGAGCCAAAACCGTTTGGGTGAAGTGTGCTGGAGCCTCTAAAGAAAGAGCTACAGTAATGCTGCTGGGAGACTCTGACAGGTATAAATACACCCCGTTCGTCATCTTCAAGATGAATCCATCCAAGATTAAGAAGACTCATGTCAAAAATATTGAAAAGCGCTTCGGATTTGGTATTAGAACGTGGCCGGAGATCAAGCGCCTTCAAGAAGAGACCAAATTGCAAATATACACGAATGCAAAAGGTATGTGTTTTAAAAGAGATTTATTAATAGTTGTATTGATTCTAATTTTTTTTATTTAGGCTGGTGGAATAGTTATCTGTCGCTGAAGTTTCTGAAGTTCCACTTTGGCGGCCGATCGTTCCGAGAGGAGCTGGTGCTTCTCCTCTGGGACGATTTTAGCGGTCATTGAACCGCAGAGGTTCTTGCCTACGCTGCAATCAACGTCGTGTTGATGAAGGTGCCACCAAATGCTACTTCTGTCTGTCAACCGGCAGACGTAGCATGGAACCATCCTTTCAAAAGCGGACTACGTAGGTGCTGGCTCGGGAATTTGCAAGAACAGCTGCAAAAGCCAAGAGAAGAGGGATCAAAGTCCAAGCTAGCGCCGCCTGGACGCGCGGGGATGTGCCGATGGGTGTGCAGCAGTTGGGAAGCTCTGAGTGTTGAAACCATCCAAAATGGGTACAAGAAGTGCGACTTGCGTCTCGACACCGACTGCCTTGCGGCTGCGTCTTTGGTGGAGGAGTTGCAGCGACTATCGCTAGTAGGGTCAAGTACTGACGCAGATCAAGATTTCAATAGATGGCTCACCGCAGAGGAGGATGGCAACGTGAGTGCTGACATAGCCGTCGTGTAAATACACTTTTTCTAAAGGAAAAAAAGATTCCTGTATAATTTGATTATGTCTTTTGAATATGTATTTATCCAGGTTTGATTTGCTTTGTGAACCTTGGATGCATCTCTCTACATGCGAAATACGGTAAAGGTGCATTCAGTAGGATTGATGGGCAACGTGGCTTTAACAACTTAATTGTGTAGCGTCAAGCAGACGTAACAGCCGAGGTTCTTAATAAAATGTGGCGATGAAGCTTGAGCAACAGCTCGTACGTTTCTCTTTTCTCAAGATCAAAGAGAAAACGTACGAGCTGTAAGGACTGTGGCGGTCTGGTCACCTGTCTGCCCCCTCTCTTTCATCCGCTCTTGGTTGCCGTTGATTTAAGTTGTGGCCGATTTCCTTCTGGCTTGTGCTTCTAGAACAAAGTAAAGTCTTCACGTTCTCTCCAAGTCAATCATACAGCATGTTACGAAAAGTTATCAGGGTATCGTTTTTCGGTCGGTCGTGATTCTGTCCTGCGAACCTTCCAGAAGTCGAAATTGACTGGGAGTTTGTAAGCGAGTGTAAAAATTCCACGATCTTTCGCTTGCTCCGACATTCAGCGTGGTCCACACAACTCCCTTTTTCCTCCCCCTCTTCCTCAGCCAGCCAGTCTCAAACCCGCGCAGTCCACAGAGACTCGACCGGACCGGCAGCAGGGAAGAAGAAATCCCCCCAGCCTGATACATTAACACAGACACATATAGACTAAGACCTCCAACATGTTCGGTGGCGGATTCGAGAGCTTTTTCGGCGGCGGTTTCGAGGGCGGCCCTGGCGGCCCAGGCGGCCCGTCCAAGCCCACGGACAACAACAAGTTCTACGAGGCTCTAGGTGTCTCCAAGACGGCCACGGCCGCTGAGATCAAGAAGGCGTACCGTAAATTGGCGCTTAAGAACCACCCGGACAAGGGCGGTGACCCGGAGCTTTTCAAGACCATTACGGTGGCCTACGAGGTGCTCAGTGACCCAGAAAAGCGCGAGCTTTACGACCAGTATGGCGAGGAAGGTCTCCAGAACGGTGGCGGTGGCGCCGATGCTAGCGACCTGTTCAGCCAGTTCTTCCGTGGCCAGGGTGGCCGTCGGCCCCGTGGCCCGCAAAAGGGCGAGGATCTTACGCATCCACTTAAGGTGTCGCTTGAGGATCTGTACAACGGTAAGACCGTTAAGCTAGCTGTGAATCGCGACGTGCTGTGCGGTCGCTGCGAGGGCCGCGGTGGCGCCGAAGGAGCCGAGAAGACGTGTGACACGTGCCAGGGCCGCGGTATGCGCGTTCAACTGCGTCACATTGCACCCGGCATGGTGCAGCAGATGCAGAGTGTGTGTCCTGACTGCCGTGGCCAGGGTAAGAGCATCCGTGAGAGCGATCGCTGCAAGGGCTGCAAGGGAAAGAAGGTTACGAAGGAGCGTAAGGTGCTGGAAGTGCACATTGAGAAGGGTATGCGCAATGGTCAGCGCATCACATTCTCGGGCGAGGCTGACCAGGCCCCTGGAACAGTACCCGGTGACATTATCTTTGTGGTGCAGGAGAAGGAACACGGTACTTTCCAGCGCAAGGGCGGCAACCTTATCATGGAGAAGAAGATTAGTTTGGTGGAAGCTCTTTGCGGTTTCGAGATGATCGTGGAGCACCTGGACGGCCGTAACCTACACATTAAGACGCGGCCTGGCGAGATCATCAAGCCCAACCAGTTTAAGTCCGTGCACGGCGAGGGCATGCCCACACACGGCAACCCGTTCGTCAAGGGCCAGCTTGTCATCCTGTTCAAGGTGCAGTTCCCGGAGAGCGGCAGTCTGTCTGAGAAGCAGCTCAGTATGCTCAAGAGCACGCTGCCGGCCCCTACGCCTGTGGCGTCTGTGACCGAGTCAGAGGAGTGCTTCTTGTCGGAATTTGACGCCGAGGCCGCCAAGGCTGAACAGCAGCAGCGCGAGGCGTACGACTCGGACGAGGAACGTGGCGGCCAGCGCGTGCAGTGCCAGCAGCAGTAGAAGGCTTCTGTCTGCATGCAGGAGACGAGGTTAGACTTGGCTAAGGACGAGAGAGCTGCGTGCAGGAAAGATGTTTAGGCTGCCTGACTGTGTTTCCCTAAGCTCTGCAGCAGTGCGTTTCAGTAGCGAATCATACGTTAAGAAGAAGAAAAGAGAGAAAAAAAAACTTTATGTTTACATTGCTAGTCGAGTTGGTCAAGATGCTTCATGGTGGAGCACTTGCTTAAGAACTCAATCTAAACTTTAATTTTACTACTTTGACTACTACAGGTAGTAGTAGTCTGCTCTTTCAATTGCCTACGGTAAACACCTCTTGTTTATCTGATGTACTACTATATTGTAGTAGTACATTCTGTCGAAACGATACATGTCGTTATCAGCAGCCACTGCAGTATTTACACAGCTATAGAAACAATGAAGACACTAGTGCAATAAACTTAAGTGGGAAACCGCAAATGGGAACGTCTGGCATTGATTCCTTATGAAAAGAGCTCAACACGAGTCGCTTCCACTCCCTGGCAAGGAAGGAAGTTCACGCTAGACTTTGTCCCTTATCCTTTCCACCTCATGGCCCCTTGGGGCACCATTCAGCGGATATCGACAAAAGACCACGTCTGGGAATCGCGTAATAGGCTTCACGATCCAGAAGCTTACTCGTCGACGGTGTCGTTCTGGAGGCCCTTGAAGGTGGCCACCTGCACGTGCTGCACAAGCGTGTACAGCTTCTCCTTGGCGTCCTCGTCGTCGTTACGCTTGCGCGAAAGACGCACACGCACGCGGTAGGGCACGTTGCGCACACCCTTGGACCAGATGAACTTATTGAGCTTGGAGTCAATGCGCACGTCCTGGGTCTTCATGGTCACCTGAGCGAACTTCTTGATAGCGCGCACGGCACGAGCGGCTTTCTTCTTAAACACGCTGTTGGGTCACAAGAGGAACCGCATTGTAAACAAATTTCAGAGCAGAGAAAAAGTCAAGGAAGTCTCCAAGGTGGGAGCTACGGCGAACCGAGTGCGGAAATACGCAGATAACGTGCAGCATATGCATGTAAAGGGGTTGAAAAAGGATACCATCCGTGAAGACGCTTGTGCAGGTTGATGGTGTAGTCGCGGGCGACCACATCCGGCGAGCGCTTGGTGTTGCGAGTCTTGGTTTCCTTGACCATGGTGAGTGTTCCTGGTGAGCTAGCTATTCCCGAATGTTTTGGACGTCGGTGGTGGCGGCAATAGGGAGCCAAGCCCAGCCAATCGATTCGACCGAATACTGATCATATACCGGTACCGAGGTACCAGAAGCTTGGTACAATAAATTTTGTTTCTTAGCAAAACATTAAAAAAGTTCATTTTTGTGGCTCCAGTCTAGCGACTTTTTGGATACATGTTGTGAGTCACCAACATTATTGAATACGAAAATGGTAATGTTGGTGGAGAGACTCAAATTTTGCTCTACTGATATTAGCCTACTCTTTTTGGTCACGGAACTCAACGTTTGATGAATGTTTCGAGCAATGCTCGGCATGTTGGAAGGACAGTCCCTTACCGCATAAAACCTTTGCCTGCATCGCTACGGCCGCCTGTAACTTGTAGGCGGCCGTAGCGATGCAGCCAAAGGCTTTACAGTGTAAGTGCTGTTGTGAGTATTGCTCATACATGAAAGACTACATATGTAGAAACGGCGGCAGATGAAAACGCACAGCCGCTCATGACAAGCTCACATCGAGGTGAACATGATACATGTACAGTACATACAAAGATCTATGGGCAAGGACTACAGTAGTCTTTTCTGTTTCGTGAGGAGCACGGAAGCTCCTCATCCTGTCTTTTCTCCAAAGGAACTGTGGTTTACGCCCTATGCAAGTTGCAACGTCACCGCAAGCACGAAAAGGAAACCACTCGAAAGCCCGCTGCTCGTTACATCGAATCGATAACGTACCTTGAGCTGTGTAACCTGCCGCCATCGTCTACGTTCCGCCCGCAATAGAAAAAAGAGTTTGTTTGGATGAACCTTACGGTGAAGACGCTCAGCCTGAGCTGCTCGTTCCTCGTGTCTCAAGTTGAAACGCTTTGTGAAGGAAGAGGGAGGAGCAGCGCCGTTTGGTGGTCCAATAACGGATCACACGTCACGGAGAAGTGGAAACGACCGTGCTACGAAAGGGCCGATCCTGTTAGGTCCTAACTTAGGGGCGCTGAGGTGCCACACGCCTCGTACTGTAGCCTTGAAATCCAAGTTGGATGGGGTCGAGGAGACAGGTAGTTCATTTTGGAATTTCCCCGGTCAATTCGAAGTCCACTAATTTCCAGCTACCCCACCTTCAAGTACCATGGGCTGCAGTCAATCCAAGGCGAACGACGTTGTCATCGAACCGATCACGGCACCCCCGTCCGAGTGCGGCAAGGCCTCAATGGATCTTGTTTTTACCGATATCATTATCGATGACCACGAGGAGACGAGTACCAGCGTCCCTCCCGCACCTGTGGAGGAAGAAGTCGAAGAAGAGGAGCAAATTGCCGCTCCCATTGAAGAGAGACTGAGTCAGTCACTGACCGAGCAGCCGCCCGTCGATGTTGAAGCTCTTCAAGAAGAGTCCGTCACGGTGCGAGAGCCCGCGGTTGATGAGGCCACGGTAGAGCAGGAGCCCGTCGCGGTTGAAGCGCCCGTCGTCGCCGAAGCAGAAGTCGTAGAAGAACCGGCTGCCGCGGAAGAGGAAGAAGAAGACCCGGCTGAACCCGAGATGGAGGTTGAGGACGTCGCCACCTCGATCGTGGAGAAGTCCGCTGCGACGTGCGTGAATGCTCCCGTCTGGACGTTTACAGCCGACAAAGTCTCGTTCACCATCGGCGTGGCCTTCTTCAACATCGCAGGCTCCAACACAGAGGGCGACGAGGTGAATCTGACCAAACGATACTCCGAGTTCAAGGCGCTTCACACCGAGATGACCCAGCTCATGACGAAAGAGGAGTTGCCACGTATGCCCGGCACGTCGTTCCTGCAGGGTCGCAACGATAAGGATCTATTGCAAGAGCGAGAGACGACCTTCGTCGATATGCTCAACGCTATTGCACAGCACCCGGAGGCATCGCAGAGCGCCCCGTTCGCCGAGTTTGTGGCGGCGTAGAGCGCGGCCGGGAGCATACCTGCCATCGGTAGTCTGCGGTAGGCATTTAGATTGAGAGCGAGCAATAGTAGCCGACAGAACCAGCAACAGCATCGTCAAACGGAAAGACGCCTATAAATATGAAGCGTAAGCCTGTACAAACATATTACCATTCAACCATGAACCAGCAATGCTGGCAGCATCGGTGTCCTCTTCATCCGGTTACATGTATAAAAAAACGGATAAAAGGCTTCAAGACGGGGTGCGACTATCACAAGAAGCGTCCGACGACGGATTTGGTGGAGAACTTCATGCGAACTAAATGACACTGCTTCGTTGCGGCGGTTTGTCTCCAGCGGTGAGTAACGCACTGGTACATTCACAATTGCTCTGACATCCTCCGCGTGGAGACTGGGATAAGGATCGGGCTGGGCAGATGGCTTCGAGATACGCGGTGCTTCCTCTACGTCTCCTGTAGTCTCTGCCGTTTGGGCACAGGACAGGCGCCGACTTGTTGGCTGGACGATTCGTCGGGAGAGGCTTTTTCGTCCTCTGGAGTTCATTCCCGATTTCTCTCGGTCCCACTCACCTCGAGTCCTCTCTTCTCCATTCAGTATGGGCTGCAGTCAATCCAAGGCGTCGACCGACCAGGTCGTAGAGCGCGTGTCGGTGGAAACCCCGGCAGCTGAAGCTCCGGTCCCTGAGAGCATCAAGGCAACTGAACCCGAACCGGTCGTCGAGGCCCCACCCGCGGATGAATTGCCGCCTGCACCCGCTTCGGTTCCAGTTGAAGAGGCCCCAAAGACAGCAGAGTCGGTTGTGGAAGAGCCTGCTGAAGCCGAAGAATCCCCCAAGACCGAACCTGGTGAGCAAGTCGTCGCTACAGCTGAAGAGGCTATCGTTGAGGATGCGCCGAAGACGGAAGAGAAGGTTTCTGAAGCCGAACCCGACGAGATCCCGGTGAAAACTGAGCCTGAAGCCCCCGAGTCAGAGCCCGTCGTTGAAGAGGAAGCCCCCAAGTCTGAGCCTGTTGTTGAAGCACCTGTTGAAGAAGAGACTCCTGTCGAAGCGCCAGTTGAAGAGGCAATCCCCGTTGAAGAGGTGACACCCGTTGAAGAGCCTAAGTCGGAGGTGATTGCTGCGCCTATCAGTGAGGTAAAGCCTACTACTGAAGGCACTTTGACCTTCAAGGCCGAGGACGTGGCGTTCAACGAAAAGGGCGTGGCCTACTACAATTTTGACGGCTCTGACTCCAGTAACCCGGCCAACGATGTCCACGTGTCCAAGCGCTACTCAGAGTTCAAGGCTCTGCATGCGCAGCTCACTCAACAGTTAGCGGATAACCAGGATGAGAAGTCGTTGGACCTGCCTGCGCTGCCCAAGGCCTCGATCTTACAGGGTCGCAAGAACAAGAAGATGCTGGATGACCGCAAAACTCAATTCACCGCTTTGCTTAACGCTATTGCCGCACACTCGGTGGCATCTCAAAGTGACGTATTCAAGAGCTTTTTGGCGTAGGCGTAGAGCTTCAAGGCTACATGTATCGGTAGGAAAACCTACACTTTTTTCGGTGCTATGTAAAATGTATTTCTTACAACTCGAACAATTGACTGCATGAATAAGTCTCGTTTCCAATATTTTTCATGGAGCAGCGATTGAGTTTTCAACGTGCTTGTCTTTCTGCTCATTCAATGAAAGTTTTGACGCGTTGACGCAACTATTAATTTTGTGGCCTCGCCGAAGGAGGTCGAGAGCTTTGCCGAGTCGGCCATCAGCACACCTTGTCAACGTTAGAGAGACCACCTGGGTGGAGATCTACGAGAAGTGCTCGTGAGAAACACAGATCAACTGGTGTGAGTACCGACAGCCGGCACGCCCTACGCATTGCTCACCACCATGTGTAGCTTGCACCCGCTGAGAAAATGGAGAGTGCTCTGTGCTTGAGCGAAGCGATACGAACACGAGAGCAGCACCACGAAGACTGGACAGCATCACTCATTCTCCATTCTCCACGGATTAACTCAAGCTGCTCGCCTGTCGTTGACTGGGTACAGCTCACGTGACAACCTTTCTCAAGCTACAAACCATGGGGTGCACTCAATCCAAGACAAACGAGCAGGAGGTGACCGATCCTAAGGTCGCTCAGGCCGAGGAGGACGTCAAATCTGCACTGGTCGAAGTGCCTGAGACTGTTGGGACCGAGGCTGCGAATATTGGGGTGCCGACCGTGAAGGTGAAGACTCCTGACTTCGAAACGCGGTTTGTCTCGGGTGAGGTCAGTATCAACGAGTACGGCGTTGCCTTCTACAACTTTGACGGGTCCAACCCTGCAGACCCCAGCCGGGAGATCCACTTGTGTAAACGCTACTCGGAGTTCAAGGACATGCATGAGGAGATCTCGAAGCTTATGGCCAGTGAGAAGAACGTGAGACCTGAGGACCAGGACAAGTTCCAAACCTACCCGGCACTTCCGTCCATGCCCCGGGCAAATGTTGTTACGTATTTGCTCGGACGTGGTAATCAAAAGGTAGTCAACGAGCGCGAGGCCCAGTTCGTCAAGATCCTGAATGCAATAGCAGCTCACCCGATCGCCTTCCAAAGCACGACGTTCGCAGAATTCATGGCTTAGATAAAGAGTCCTCACGAAAAATCCTGTCATTGAAAACAAAAAATCTACGTAGTATTTTATTTGTTCAAGTCTCAAATCGATCTGCCAAAATGCTCCATAGCTTCCGAGGCTTGAATTGAGCGTTCCCGCGCCAACAGTTACAAGGCTAAGTGCTCGATCACAAATTTCGGGTAGTCTACTGGTGCAGTCAGGATTGACAGCGCCTGCCCATGTACCATTTCGGAAGGGAGAGATGTTCAGATATTAATGCAGGGTCCCCACATGTACATGTTTACTCTGCCACTCAGTAGATATCGTCTCATTTCCAATCTTACGCCAAGTCTGACAAGCCTCTCCCAAAAGTGTCGATTGACATTGCTATGGGTTGCTCACATTCGACGCCAAGCCACCAAATGCGTAGAGTTAACGAACTCGAATTCTTCATCGAGCTGTCCATTGCCAAGCGTCCAGGAGGAGCAGACGTAGGCCCCATTTGTGCTACACCACGAAAGAGCGACTGGATAAGTGGTGGAACGACTCCTAGCGAGTCGGAGGTCGACATGGAGCCAGCCCCAAAAGCCGCAACAAATACGAAGAAGCTGCCAATTGGCGTCATTAATTTTTACGTTGTCAAGGTCATCGCCGACATGGACGGTGTCATGTTCTACCACTTCTGCGGCACAAGCGCAAAGGACCCGACAAACGAGGTTCGTATCGCCAAGCGCTATTCGGACTTTAAGACTCTGAATGCGGAAATCTCGGAGCTGATGGCGAGCGAGAGAAATGTGCCGGCAGCGCAGCAGTATTTGCTCGAGGATCAACCAGAACTACCGGAGATGCCCAAGGCGAACGCGTGGACATACTTGCGTGGACACTTCAATGAAACGGTGCTGGGGGAGCGCGAAGAGCAGTTTACCAGGATCCTGAACGCCATCTCAAGGCACCCTGTGGCCTACAAAAGCCAGCATTTTACGGAATTCTTGCTGGAATAGGATAGTGATAATTGTGTGTATCAACAACATGAAAACTTATTGTGCTTTGCAGCCTTTTTGGCAGTTTTAATAATAACTCGTACGATTTGTGAATGTATCGCTATCTATAAATCGTATTTAAGTACGATTTGTTGTAATCCGTGAACGAGTTAGTGTTCAGGCATCAATAGAGCTCGTAGATGTACTGAGTAGCGCGGTGCCAACCAACATGAGAAGCATTTCGTTTGGCACTTTTAAAAAGTGCCATTTCAAGAAAAGTCTTACAGCATGGCGCATTCAAAAGACCTTCGTTGGCGTGCGGTAGTGCTATTTTTTGTTTAGATTTATGATGTGGTCCAGATAGGCCACGTGCTCGGAGCCTCGGCGCGCTCCATCTTGCGCTGGAATCAGCTTTTTAAAAGGCATGGCATGGTGACAGGCACGAAGCGGAGCAAGCGAACCTCCCGGTGGCCGGCAGCTGTGTGCTCGTTCGTTTTAAAGTACGTCCAGGACCACCCATGCTTTTATTTGGAGGAACTACAAGACACGCTTCGCTACAAGTTTGGGGATATTAAGTTGTCGCCAGCAACAATTTGCAGAGCTCTTCGGTTCGATTTAGGGCTGTCAAGAAAGGTTTTAACTAAACGAGCACGCGAAGCTAAGGCCGACCAAGTGCAAGATTACATTGACAAGCTAACTCCCTTCTACTCAGCGCCCGAGCAGCTTGTATTTCTAGATGAGACTGCGAAGGATAGTCGCGATGGAGGCCGGCGATACGCATGGTCGAAGCGCAACACGCCTGCAGTGGTCACGTTGCCTTTTGTGCGAGGAGATCGGGTTTCCGTTCTGGCGGCAATGTCGACGGATGTTTTTTTTGGCTGAGGTTTCACAACTGGGACTTTTACCCGGCACGTTTTTCACAAGACCTTTCACGAAAACATTTTGCCGTTTTTGAACCCATGGCCGCTTTTCTCGCTCAATCCTCATACTGGATAATGCCAAAATTCACATGTACAGGGAGCTGGAGGAAGCGGTCCACAGTGTGGGTGCGCTGATATTTTATCTACCACCGTACTGTCCTCAACTCAACCCGATCGAAGTTGGGTTTTCACTGAAGAGATGGTTTCAGAAAAATGCCAATTTGGCTTTTGCCTTGCGCCACAGGAAGTACTCGACTTGGCGATGTACGCCTGTACACGTGCGAAACAGGGAACGCGTGGAATCTACAAACATTGCGGATATGCATCTGATTCATTATTAATAAATGCTAGTGCATCTGCCAGCGTTGAGCAAACCCCAAAATACAGCTACTGATGATCTTCATCCTCCATATTTTTTGCCGAAATGTTCATCGGTATATCGGCGTTATGAGGGCGCCTGAGATCACAGTCCGGCAAGCCGAGGATATCGCGAAGATCACCCAGTGAAACAGCGATATTGACTTCGCTATCATTTATCATAATTCTTACCGTTCTAAAGCGGCGATCCAGTCGCCTTCGCTCAGCTTGTTGCTCATGCGCCATTTCGCGGCGAGCCTCGTCGACAGCACTGAGTTGACGATAGGTTGCGTGCTCGGGGACTGTTGGTTGAGTTCCATCTGGTTCGCGCGCGTACTGTGTAGCAAAGTACCGCAAAGCCAAACTATTTTGTTCAAGTGGGGACTGGCTAGTAGCAGCGAGGTGCTCTCTAATTCGAATGGACGCTTCGTTGATCCGAGCTGTAGTTGCTCGCCGAATCGAATTTTGAATCTGTACAATCATATCAAAGCAACAACACGTTATTATTACAATTTGATACATTTGAAAGCAATTACATTTGTACCTTTACAGCATACACGAACACTAGCAGTCGGAAATCAGTCAGCGCAACTTTCCTGCGCTGTGAATTTCGCCAAGCTTGCACGACTTGCGTGTCAAATGATTCAGCACTTAGCTTGACAAACTCGCGCTGTTTCGTGTTGGTACCAGGTTTAAGATACATGTCTTTTTCAGGCCACGATATGGCCTCTTGGGCGCTTAGAATTGCGTTCACCTTCGCAAGCAATACGGCATGTCCTTCAGCTGACCGTAAACTCAATGAATGTGGTTGCTTGTGAACGGCTCGAACATCGTTCAGGGGCTCACCCAGTTTGATAGTCAAGACTGGATCTCTTCATCGCCAAATATGTCTTGCACAGTGTCGCCGTTTGTAGTTGCGTTAGACTCCATGAATGAAAATGTGAAACAAAAGGTAATGCTGCTGTGTACATAAGATCATGAAGACGAAACCAGAATTAGTGCGAGCCCGTTTTACTTGCAAATTATGTCTTATGTATTCTTACCCTCACCATACTGCTGTATTCAGATGACATGACATCACATGCGTGAGTGTTTTCAACGTAGTTGCTCGTGAAGTTTTGGCAACGGTACCTTCGTTGTTAGTTGTCCCGTGCTCGAGATGCCGGCGTTTGAAGAGGATCTGGCACACCAGACAGAGTGTTGGCGAAGATGAGCGTCATACCAGCATAATAATTCCAATAGTCGTGTAGTCCTGTCGGTCTAGACGAGTCACTGGCGCTGACAGTGCAGCGAAGAAGCTCGTGCTGACTAACTAGCTCACAGCGCAATAAACGTTGACGACAAGAGTCCGTGTTAGCATGCTCCCTGAAGTAAACATGTAGCCGTGGCGACACACACGCACCGTTGTGGACTTGTAACATGACGCTGCTAATTGATCTAGTCACTGTGAGCTTCGCAGTGCGGCCTGCTCTCCACTGGATATCTTAACGACTTGTGGGAAATCATGCACTAATTGGTGCAAAAGATAAGTATGAATTAGGGGACTAATAAGTGCGACAAAGTCGATGCAAAGCACAATAAAACTTGACGATACATGTAGTTGACGATCAATGAAGCCATAAAACAATTGAGCAGCACATAATTTTATGCAAGAGACAGACGCAACCTGCTGATTTTACTCGTCGTCAAATGAAAATGCTCTTCAACTGCGCTGGCAGAGAACATGGCTACATATCCAGCTCGACGGAATGGAGACACTTCCAATTAGCCGGGTTATTCTCCTGCTGTCCAGGCAGAAAACATATTCTCTTTTGCGGCGTTAGTGTCTCACAAGAGTGCTGGCTGTTGGTCAATTCACCGATATCGACGGCCTGTCCGAACCCCACAGTCTCCGGTGTTGAGCGCCACGAACGTCTCCTCCGCCTGTCCATCTCGATCGCCAAGTGGTCTGCTGCTTAGCCACCGATATTCCTAGTACAAAGGCGCCCTTGGAAGTCTCGCATTGCAGCTCTTCTACAGTACTTAACTATGGGCTGCAAAAACTCCAAAGAGACAGCACTCATGCATCGCGCCAGCAGCGTCGCAGTGCCTCTTCGACCCACGACACCGTCGTTCCACGCTCACGACTCGAAGTTCTGGTTGTCCACTAGCGGGTCGCAGGCCAACGAGTTCCGTGAGGAAGTACCGTCCTTTGTAGTCTCCGACAGCGTCGACCTGGTTGGAAGCTCCGATGGCGAACCTGTGCACGGCATGGTCAGCGCCTTCACCTTCTCCTTCATCCACACGTCCGAAGCTGGTAGCAATTCCAGCTTCAGTCTCAGCAGCTCATCCATGTCGGAAGATCAGATGTCACCCCGTCCGCCCGAGTCGTTGACGTTCGCCATGACCGGCGACCCGATCGAGCTCCAGCCGATTCTAGAGGAGCGTTCAGGACCGCGAGACGCCGCTGAAGTGTCGGCCAGCACTACAGCGGAGCCAGCACAGGATGCTGCACCGAGCGAATGCGACAAGACGGAACCCGAAGACGAGTCGTCACCGTATGCTGCTCTGACGCACGTTGGCGAGAGCAGCGTGGTGAGTGAGTCGGCCGTGACGGAATCGAGCGAGCTGCTGGTGAATGAGCTGGTCGCGTCCGGTACCAGCCATCACAGTGAAGACAGCAGCAACAACTCCGGAGATACCAGACGATCAGTCGATACGTCGGAGTTGAGTGAAGGTGGCGAGTACTTAGTCACGGAGACAGGTGCAGTTGTCCGCCAGAAGTCGCACGTTTTAGAGTCCTCAGCTCAAGAGGACAGCAGCAGCGACTCTATCAAGCGTGAGTCGATTCAAGAAGTCGCTGCAGCGATCGTACAGGAGGTCGTCGATGACGCCGTGTCCAGTAACGAGCCACAGCAACCACGAGACCGAGGAGAGCTCGTTGCACGAAGCAGTTTGCAGGTTGAACCATCAAGTACAGGCGTGTTCTATCTCAGCATGAAGACGCAGCCACCGGACAACGCCCTGATGCCTAGCGCAAGGCGTCCGATCTACGCCGTTGTCGGAACATCTACCGATAAGGGAGTGGTGCTGTACCACGTGCAGCTTATGGACGAGGTAACATACAGCTCCAAATGGCCAGCACCACTACGTCGTCGTTACTCCCGCTTTAGCGAGATGTATACGAAGTTGAAGGAGTCCAAGCTACAGTCCGCGGACAAACTACCGAAACTGTCTCGAGCCGGCGTGGTGCACTTTGTGCGTGGTCGACAGAGCAAGAAGACGATTGAGGAGCGTCAGCAGCAGTTCACCAACGTGCTGCACTACGTCGCCGATCATCGAGAACTACACGACAGCGCCGCGTTCCAGAGTTTCCTAGCCCATTGAGTTGTTACCTGCCGTCATTTTCCATTTTCCAGTCACAGCACGCGTTGCTGTACCGTTTGTCCCTTCCAGGAAGTTAGACATCCCGTTAGTTTACTTAGCGATGGCATCTTTGGCCCTACTGCAGCAACCCACCGCAGTTGTATGAACACGATACATCGTTCGCCAATGTTTGACATCAAACCCATACAAGCTAAGCTTACGCGACTCGTACATTAAATCTTTGGGGACCGAAGCTGCTTCGACGTCAAGTCTTGGAGCCACATACATGTATACTTATTTTATTCGACAGCCCTAACGAGCTCCACGCTGGCGCGTGCAATATGTCCCTGGTGTGCGTGGCACGGCAGAGATCACTTCGACCTGATGGCTGTGGCTAGAGAGCAAGGCTAACACAGATCACAACTGATAGGCGAGCGCGTATCTCTCAACAGTCCTTACAAGCTGCGGGGCTACAATGATCACGGAGGAGGTTCATGCTGCGTCGTTAAGTGACAAGAACGAAATGGCCGAAAGACCTGAAGCGGACGAAGATGCACATACAGAGTCGTCGGAGGGAAGCAACCGGCAAACGCATTGGACAACGGATACTGTGGATTCGGAGGATGAATTTGAAGATGCGATGGAACCTCCATCATCGACTACAGGGGTGCTTCTGAGTTTTGAAGGTGCTGCCCCGCCCTTGTCGGGTGTATATGAAGATGCAGTGGAGGCAACGGATGAGCATATACTGGCGGCGTTGACGAGATCGGAAGGCTTGGGAAAAAGGCAGTCAACGATTCAAGAAGAAGGATTGATAACTGTGAACGAGAAGGTTGATACAGCGGATACTGGTATTGAGAATGCGATCGTGACGATCGTGGAGGAGATCGTGAAAAGCACAATACAACCGAAGAAGAGGCAGACCCGGGTCCTGAGCAAGAAGCCACACCCATCGAAGGAAATCCGGACGGTCAGATCAATGATCAGAGTTTACGTGAGTTAGCGGTGGATGCTGTTGATGTTGCCGATGGCGATGCAGCTGAGAGTATTGCAGCCGAAGAAAGTGCTGCAGCTGGCGAGCTTGAAGAAATCTCGGAGGTTGACGCTGATGCTACAGACGTCGGTGCAGGGAAGACCGACGATGAGACTGAAGTCGGAGCGGTAGTCGTGAGTGATCAAGAGACCGCTGCTAACATTGAAGAAGCTGAAGCGCAGACGATCCCCGTGGCTGACGAGGTGGTCGACGGTAAAGCTGCTAAACTCTCTTCTTTTATGTTAGGTGAAGATGCAGCACTGGAGCCTGAGCCTGGCAGCGACACGATGAAATCCAGCAATGAACAAGAGATATCGGATGCCACTGCAGATGCAGCAGAACCAACGGAGAAAATTAAAAGCGATACATCGGTGGAACTCGGCCTCGAAGCCCCCGAAGATGCTACTGGTGAACAAGCCGCACATTCAGTCGAAGAAGAACAGCACGAGGAACCGCCGGGTGCTGATGAATCAACTGAAGATGATGGCATGACTATCGCATCGGAAGCGGAGGGTGCTGAAGAAGAACAACCCGACGCAGCTGGGTTCACTGCGATCCCAGAGGAGATTATATCTGACGTATCCGGCGAAGCTTCAGCGAAGCGGGAAGAAGCTACTCAGCCAGAAGAGGATGCTAGCCAACACTCAGTAACCGAGTCAGCTGATCAAAAACCCACATCATCGGAAATCAAGGAGGTTGTCGCCCAGGTTACCGATGAACTGGTTGAACTCGTTCAGGCGCAACAAATTTGTTCCTAACTCGGAGACCAAGAGACGACCGAACAAGTCGCTCCGGAGGCGGTGGATGAGAAGACCGAGGATAACCCCTTCAAAGCTGCTGACAATACCGACGCCGTCGAAATCGAAATCGAAATCGACGGCGACGTGACTCCCGTAGCTGCTTTAGCGCCCGCTTCCATTGCTAAGGACGTGAACAACAATGACAACGGCCATGTTGTGGTGGACTTTATGCCGCGTTTTGGGCTCTCTTCTGGGATGACAACCACAACCACGATCGAGCCGTTCGTCCTCAGCTCAGAAAGCAACGAGATGATCGAGGCGCATTTCCCCCCGCAACGATGGACGTATGAGGTGTACGGCTTCTCGATTCGGAACCGCGTGGTGTACTACCACATCCACAGGAGCGACCACCGTACGGGTATTCGTCAACCGCCGATTCTCAAGCGCTACACGGACTTCCGCGAGCTGCAGACCCAGTTGCTGGACACGCGAGCTCACACAGCAATTGACATGCCTCGAATTCCGAGACCTCATCTCGGTACCGTGTTCCGCGGCTACAAGAGCAAGAAAACCATCGAAATGCGTGAAAGTGCTTTCCGAGCTTTGCTACGTTACATTTCTCAGTATCCGGAACTGCACGGCAACACTGTGTTCGAGCAGTTCATCACCACGAGTCGAGCCACAACAGGAGCAGGTTGGATGTGAGGGTGAACAAACATGTAAATGAAAGGATCTGAAAGTTTATTTATTAAGTTGCTGCCAGCAACTTGCTGGTCTTCAGCTCTCGCCATTCACATGAAATTTGAAAAAAAAAACTCTCTGAGCGAACTGGGTCTTTCTGAAAGACTCTTTTTTCCTCGAGAATTTTTCATAAACCAGTACTGTAACTACCCGAAAATAGTCTAATAAGTATGAATGCCACCAATTTAGCTTTTTTTTTTGGGTATGAACGTTATTCTCGGATAATTTGCGAGCTCTATTTGGTCAAACATTGTGATTTGACACACTTACTATTATCATCATTAATTGGGGACACGCCCGGATTCGCGTGCAGTTCTCAGCTCGCGCAGTATTGACAAAACGTTTCCGTCGCTCCCAAAATTAGTAGTGGGTGGACAGCTTTAATGGATCGTCCGTTTTTGATTTTTTTGTGGACAGCTTGGTGGAGGGAGCCTTGAGGAGGGATGGTTGACACCAGTATGCTGTTCTTTTTCTTCTTTTATTAGCTTGTACGATCGACATTTCAACTTATTCCAGATATGATACTAAGCCATGAGCTCGCTGGATACCCTCGCAATGTTCACCAGGCTTCGACAGCTCAACCTTTCTTAAATGTTTTTATAAATTATAAAAAATCAAGAAGACAATTTTAGCTTATCACGTTTTTTTTTCGTGTAGCTGCAGAAAATCCGCATCTTCACGGATAATTCAAATTCACTAAGTCTATAGCGATGTCGCTACACCATTCATGCAGACCGTTTTACTGACCGCATGTCAAAGTCTGGTGGGCATAGCGAGGGTATCACTCTGGTGCCACGACGCCTGGCTTGGCGCAGTCTTGGATGAACTTGAGCTTGACGTCCACGTACTTCGCCTTGGCCGAGCTCGTTTCGCTCTGCATTTGCACGATAGTCGCCTGGTTATCCATCAGCATGGCCATAGGCAATTTGGTAGCGATATCCAGCTCACCCAGTAGCTCCTTCAGCCCGAGTAGCTCTTGAGCACCCACCGTCGGAGCGACGTACTCCGCCTCGGTCGTCGATAGTGCCGCGGAACGCTGCTTCTTGCACTGCCATGACACCATCATTCCGTTTATTTGGATGATTGCCGCGCTCACAGACTTGCGGTCACTCTTGTCGGCTGCAAAGTTGGCGTCCGTATACGAGCGCAATCGTAGTGGTAGCCTTTTAGCATAGTCGTCGCCAGACATATCCATCTCGTGCGATCGGGTGCCACTCAGATACCTGGCGATGTGCTTAGCCAGCTTCCAATCTGCTATCGTTGATGCATGAGTCCGTCGCGTTGCACAGTGTACAGTGAGCATAGTGTCCGGACGCGTGCATCTCGCAATCCACAGAAAAATCCCCACCAGTGACTAGAAATTTTTCACCACCACTACCACTTGTAAAAGTAAAGGCCACTGTTTCCCCCTCGTGTTCAGTAAAGCTCGCGTCCCTCACTCTTCTGCCCACAGCATCGAGAAGGTCAGCTCCACTCAATTGTGCGGTGACATGGTGGTGTGCATAGCGTTGCCCGGCTCTCAGGAGTGATGCCGCTGCCTCGGTTACATTAAAGCGCTGGAGAAGCGCAGTAGAGATGCATTTCGGTTTTAGGCCCGGGGCAGCCCATTCCACCACCACTTCCTCATTACCGGAATCCGCACAGGCCGATGAGACGCGCGATTCAAAGTAGTGTGCTCTTACGCTTCCGCAGCCGTTACCAAGCTTTGCACTTGGCAGGTCATAACACGAGCGCGCCAGGAGCATGTAAGCCGAGCAATGAAACAGCTCACTCTTCTCAACTTCTTCTTGAAATTACCCAGCAGACTATTTGCCGTAACCTGCGACTCTGTTACCGCGAAAATCTGCCAGGGGTGTTGGGTGGCCATTTTGTAGAGCATGCGAAGGGAGGGCGTCTTAGCGAGAGTTGAGTGGTTGCAAAATGATCTCAGCGAGGAACACTCCCTTTAGCGCTTGGTTATTGGCTCAAAGTACCAACTAATTTTGTCGCCAATTGGGTGAAATGAACTAGAAGTGACGCTTGTTACTCTTTCGCGCTAACTGTGTAGTTGCGGCGTCAGCAATCAAAATGGGTGGCCCTCCATGTCCTACGGTACATTTCGGACTTTATCGGCTGATATAACAGTTTTGGTGTTTCAGTACGTTCATTAGTCTTACCCGGGATTGCGATCTGTAGAAACGTGAGCGATGCCTGGGCTTGCGATTCCGTCATTTTTAACCGGACCCACACAACGCAAAAGAAACGACACACTACTCTAAACAAAAAAAAATGGATTAGCCAATCACAGGCCAATTCTTCGGATCGCGACCCCAGTTTAGAACGGCCGTAAGGGCCGTTCTAAATGAAGCGGTAGTTTTGTAGGCTACTAGTTTGGCGTCTAGACGACAGCAGCTGTTGTCGTTAAGAATGGAGCTGGTGGTTTGTGGACTGGGGTGAGAATTCGCCCTGCTCTGTCCTTCGCAAAGCGCCTATTTCAAGATCCCGTCAAGTACACACGGACCGCTCAAGCCCACAGACTACGATTGGGGTTACTTGTGGACACAGCCTACGCCCAACACCAAGGGGGTTAGAGCGGGTGTTCGGGTAGGTTTGACATTTTTTAATTTAAAAATGTATTGACCAGCACTCCTAATAAAATGCATGTACACTCTCCATAAGGGGCAGTTTTGCAAACGGCAAGCAATGACGGAAGTCAGCAGTCATGCCATCGTTTCCCTTGTCGCTGCGTAGCCTAGTAGCCTTCGGAGCCTCCGCGCCAACGCTGCCACTTTTGTTTTACGCTAGGCTAGCGTTGCTATCATAGCTCGGTCGGCGTTTGAGACCCTCGCAGACGACCTAGCCTACCAAAAGATCCGAAACTACCGCTCGTTATGAATGGCCCTTAGACTCGATGGAGTCGAAAATGTTTTTCGATATAAGTTTCGGCGGGGGCTGAAGAACTTTTATTTAATGTGATAGCTAATCCGAAAATAGCGAACCTACCCGAAATTGGTCTGATTGGTGTGGCATTAAAAAAAATCAGTACCGGTATGAAAATCCGTGCGCAGGTGTCTCATGCATGTCAATGTACGTAGGGGGGACCATCTGCGGTGAACTCTCCCGCCCCACGATAGCAAATCGAGAGCAAAATTTCATTTTACATGGCATTTTGAAATCTTTCGTCGCAAATGAACATGTCGGTGGCTGTCTGGTACTATTGCAACTTGCTCGACGAGGTGTCGGCCGACGTGCCTGTTGTCCAGACCCAGCGAAATACTGGGGATGACGTCGTCGCTAAAGCTCCGGTTGTGAGACCCGCAACTGGACTTGCGCTGGGAGTTGAGGTGGACGACGAGTTGGCCGTTGGAAGATCGACGTATGTGCTGGCGGCTGCATTGACAACCTCAAAGAAAGAGAAGGATGAGACTGAGGACGAGGTCAAGGAGACGGCAGCTGAACTAGTTGTTGCTACTGAGACGGTTGTAGCGGACACTGTTAAGGTCGAAGTTGCTGAGACCAAGGAGGTGACGGAGAAGATTGCAACTGAAGTTGAGGATGAGGTCGAACAGGCTGCCAAGGAGACAACGGAGGTGGCCAAGGACGAGACCAAGCAACAGGACGCTAGCCCTGTTGAGACTGAACCTGTTGCGCCGGTGGTCGTCGATGAGGTCGAGGCAGAAGCACTTGATGACGCTGCTGCTGAGGTGGTGCACGAGGTGATGGAGGAAGCTCTTCTAGTCACTGAAGATGCAGTCACGGCTGCCGCTGAAGTTGAGGAGGACGTGAGTGAGGTGGCATCGGAGGTGGAAACTGTGCATGACGCTGTTGAGACCGTTGTAGCTATCAAGGAAGAGATTACTGAGCCCGTCGCGGTGCAGGCAGCAGATGAAGAGGTGAAGCCCGTCGAAGTCGAGCTCGCCACGAAAGACGCTGCTAGTACTGAATGGCTCTCTTCGCCAACACTGTCGAGCGAGGCTCCTGAGCAGAAGCTTGCTGACAAGGCTGAAGTAGTGATCGAAGAGCCTGAGCCTTCGATCCCAGAAGATGAACAAAGCGTCCATGAAGACAAGGAGCCTACTGAGAAGATTATTGCGGCGGATGACGAGTCCACAGCCAAGGAAGTCGCTCAGCCATCTCCAGCAGAAGAACAACTTAAGTCCGTCACCGAATACGAGTCCGAAACGGAGACCCAATCCGAGATCTCGGAGGCGGCAGTTGAGGCTGCCAAGGTCGTCGAAGAGCCCGAATCCGAGATCGACGAGACCATGGTCATCGACCCTGTCGTGGCTGCAAAGGAAGCTGCAGCGGTCGAGGTGCAAACCTCATCGTTCAGTTTCATCCCCGAACAGATCCGGAAGCACAGCTACGCGGCTTCGTCGGTGGCAGTTGCAGTCACTACTGCAATTGTAGCGACTCTAGTGGCGCGTAGGTAGGAAGGACAACAGCAAGAAGTTAATGTTGTGGTTAGCCCGGACAATTCACATTCTCTTACGAAGTCCTTCTCAATCGTTCTCCACGTCTCGCACTTCTGAACCTTGTAAAGGTTTGGTTCGTCAGGATCGATCGGTTAGATGCTTGACGCCCGCAGCTTGGTGGACGCACTGCACCAGCATTTGATGCAGCGTTCTACTGTACTAAACGGATATTTCACCTGTACAACGGCATCGAGACACGGCAGAGAACTGCTCGTGCTCCATAAAGCACAACGAGTGTTTTCATCTCGCCACTTGCTGCATCGTTAACCAGTCGGAGTATAATAGTTGCGGTCGCACGCATCTGTTGTCTCAATTGTCAAAGTCGAGTGAGCCATGAGAGCGCGACACCTGCTTTCAGTTTTGGCTGAACCAGCTGCAACCGAGCGATGTGTGTTGAAGTGTCCATGAGATTGGAGCGGATGTCTTTCGATGCCCGTCCATGCCGCTGAGCCGAGAGCAATCCAAAAGTGTTTGGAGTTGCAAGCTCATTATCCAATTCGAGCACCGAAC